GAGGAGGTGGATGAATCCAATCCCAAGCTGCGCGAGTACTTGTCAGTCTTTCAGCCTGGGAAGAAGTCTGCTGCCGATGAGATGGCGGATATGATGGCCCCTGCTGCTGTTAAAGAGCAGAAGAAGTTGCTTGAAGATGGCGAGAGTGACGATGAATATGAGGCCATCCCGGCTCGGCCTGAGAAACGGCAGATGAGGGAGGCACAGAAGGGAGACCAGCGCCCCGCGGAGCCTTTGCCTGAAAAGGACGAGCCCATGCCGGACGCTGCCTCTGTCGCCGACCCTGAGCCAGACGCGACTCAGGAGGAGGGTGCTGTCCCCGCTGCTGGTGTCAATAACAACGCGGCAACTACAGACGATGATTGGCTCCGTTCGAGGACGAACCGTCTGTTGGACCTCGTGGATGACGACGAGGTACCCCAGCCGGTACCCCAGCCCTCAGCTCAACGAGACAATCAAGAGACAGTCGGAAGCGCATCCGCGGTCAACCACGAGGAACCTGTGGAGCCCTCCGAGAAAGCCGAGACAGAAAGTCCAGCTGGAGCCGGCGACGCCCCGGCCCCCTCTGAGAAGAAGGCTGCGGAAGACGAGGACGACACCCTTGCCACCATCAAGCGAACCTCCAGACTTTTTGCGCGTAACCTAGCCTACAGTGTCAACGAAGAGGACCTGCGGGCGCACTTCGAGCAATTCGGAGAGCTTCAAGAGGTAAGCAGCAATACTTTTTTACATTTGGAACCGCCACTGTGCCCGACAATCATGTGATGAATCCAGATAGGGACAGCTGACATCGAATGATGTTTGATGCGAACCTTGGATCAGTATTTTAGTAGATGCATTGACTTTCTGAAAAATGATTTACTCTCTCGGCTTTTCATGGACATTTCATGACAAGACTTGATTGCTAATCTTCTGGACAGGTACATCTGCCGGTGACTGCTACTGGCGCAAGCAAGGGCTATGCCATGGTCCAGTTCACGAATGCCGACTCTGCTGTCACCGCATTCCAGTCCTCGGATGGTCAGACTTTTCAAGGGCGACTTCTACACATCTTGCCCGCTGCGGAAAAGCGCAACACAGGGCTGGACGAGTTTGCAATCTCCAAGCTGCCCTTGAAACAGCAAAACCTGATCCGAAAGAAGGCGGAGGCTGCGTCTAGCTCCTTCAACTGGAATTCACTGTACATGAACCAGGACGCTGTCAACGCCTCGGTCGCCAGCCGCCTGGGTGTGTCTAAATCAGAACTGCTGGATCCCACGTCGGCGGACGCCGGTGTCAAGCAGGCCATCGCCGAGACGTCGATCATCCAGGAAACTAAGGCATACTTTGCATCGAATGGCGTAGATCTCGATGCCTTCAAGTCACAAAAGCGGGGCGACACGACCATTCTGGTCAAGAATTTCCCCTTCGGGACGACGATGGAGGAGCTGAGGACCATGTTTGAGGAGCACGGCACTGTCCTGAGAGTGCTGATGCCACCCAGTGGTACCATTGCCATCGTCGAGTTCGCCCAGGCCGCACACGCTAAAGCAGCGTTTGCCAAGCTCGCTTACAGGCGGATCAAGGACACCGTCCTGTTCTTGGAGAAGGGGCCTAAGGACCTTTTCAAGAATGATGCCTCAGTAAACATTATGCAGGGCAAGGAAGATCGGCCCGTAGGCGTGCAGAAGCTCAGCGTTACTGAGCTTCTGGAGCGTGGTGAGCAGGGCGAGGCAGACATTCAGACAACGTCGCTGTTTGTCAGAAACCTGAACTTTTCCACCACGACGGAGAAGCTGGCCGAGACGTTTAAACCGTTGGACGGTTTTGTGTCCGCTAGGGTGAAGACAAAGATGGACCCCAAGAAGCCAGGGCAGGTGCTCAGTATGGGATTCGGCTTTGTTGTCTTCAAGACAAAGGAACAGGCTTCAACGGCTCTCAAGTTAATGGATGGGTTTGTCCTCGACGGTCACACCCTCGCCGTCAAGGCCTCCCACAAGGGCCAGGATGCGGCGGAAGAGCGCCGCCGGGAAGACAAGGCTCGCAAGGCGGCGGGCCAGCGTACCAAGATCGTCATCAAAAACTTGCCCTTCGAGGCAACCAAAAAGGACATTCGCACGCTGTTCAGCACTTACGGCCAGCTCAGAGCTGTACGCCTGCCCAAGAAGTTCGGCAACTCAACCAGAGGTTTTGCTTTTGCGGAGTTTGTCACCCCTCGGGAGGCGGAAAACGCGCTCAACGCTTTGCGAGACACCCATTTGCTGGGCCGCAAGCTTGTTCTCGACTACGCCGAGGCGGAGGCAGTCGATGCCGAGGAGGAGATTGCCAAGATGCAGCGCAAGATCGGTGGCCAGGTCAGCAAGGTCGCCCTTTCGCAGCTCATGGGCCAGGGCAGGAAGAAGGTCAACATCGGCGAAAATGCCGACGAGATGGATATGTGAAAAGAGAAATGATTCGAGAACTAAATAAATCTAAAAGAGAGTCCATCTGCGCCTCTGTTACGGCACCCAACGCTTCGCGCCAGTCTGCTCCTCATCGATGGTATCATGTGTTGTGTTATTCCAAGTTTTCCCACGCAGTGAACCCGAGTAACATTGAACTCAAATTCTTAGGTTTTGCTTTTGCCCCTTGGAAGGTCATACATTTTCTTTAAGTCCAGTGTCTACCCAGATTTGTGATTCGGTACGCACGTCTGTCTTGGTCATCCCTAGTTCCGAGACTTGATCTGCCCGATCGCACCCCGCCCTGCCCTTTTCGCCCTTGTTCCCTTCTGACCAATTTTACCTCCCTCCTGCAAGAAATAATCCGTCCCGCTATTGGCTTTCCCCATATCATGCAGAGACGGGAACCAAGGAGACGGCCAACGGTGGGGTTGCAGAGGGCGGCTTACTGTTCAATATGCTCCTAGCTGCCTCCGTGCACCCAAACAGCACTGGCAATAGCTTCAAGTGCGAGGTTCATTGCCATCCCCCATCACGGTCATGATCAAGATCATCAACACTGGCGAGTATGATGAAGGGGCAAAATAAAACAAAACGCTATCCAAAGCTTTAGGTTCCTCATCATCGACCTCTGGCCACCCTCGCCTCCTTTGCCCCGCTGGCAGGAATGCGTCTCTCCCCTTTCTTGAGCTTTGTCTCTTTCCAATCATGGCAGCATGCCAGAGCCCGGTGCGCTATGCCGTTTATTTCTGTCTGTTTTTACCTCCACGTGCTGATTTTCCAGCCCTCTCTCCGTTGCTCTCTGATCCCGCGCAAGGCTCCGGGGAGTTCTGGGTGGTCACCACGAAACAGCCACACGCTCTCTCCAGCCATGCGTGTGGTCTTGCCTTTCCTCTATGGATGAGCTTCTCTCTAATTCAAAATGGCAACGGCTGATAGACAGATGTGGCCGGCAAGTCGTACTGGTGCATATGGTGGTAGGTGGGTGGTACGTGCAGATCTACCAAATCGCACTTCAAGACCCAAGTTGATCTGTTCCCATGAGCAAACGTTCCTCGACCAACCCCCTTGCATGCCATTGCCTCGATTCGGCCACCCCTCCAGCTCAACTAGCTTCACGATTTTCCATGTGGGGTTACCCTTGTCGAAGTCGACGTACGTACATGCACACACACTTTTGGGTCCGTCCCAGGGCGAAGGGAACCAACGGCCTTTTCCCACCGACCTCGATGAAGCTGTCAAGTCATGTCAGTCAGGTTCTGACGGTGTTGAATCGAGTCTACCACCACGCTATTCGCACCCTTCTCCCTAACTTGCCCGATTGAATTCTTTCTCTCCTCGCTCTCTCTCTCCTCGACCAGGCATGTCTCCAGCCCTGCCTGTGCTCCATCCTCTTACCAAAATGAGCCCCGCCCTCTATCCTTCCCCTCGCATCCTGTCCAGCTCCCCTCCGGAGCCTCGTTCCGACCATACTGGCGGATAGCTTACCCTCTGCGCCCCAACGCCTCACCTGTTCGCTGTCGTTCTGTGCATACTTCTCTCTGTTTCCCCCACCAGGTACCTCCCTTCTATCAGCTGATCCAGGCCTCTCAAGTACGGGAAAAGTGGGATCTCCTCTCCCCCTCCGAGAGCACTGGCAATTCATGTGGGGAGACCGTGGACCACAAGCTCTATTTTCTGCCCTGAAGGGAACAGGGCTGGGCCCAAGGCCCCAGACGTGGCATGCTTGGGGAATGGAAGAGGAGGACGATGAAGCAGAGGGCTAAGATGAGGGGTGTGTTGACATCGATCTGGACCCCGGCGTGTTCGACCAAACGGTGACAATCTCTCTCTCAGGCCTTCTGCTCTTTCGGCAAGCTGCTGGTGTGTTTTGGTACTGGCCTTCAACGATCTCACCCGTTCCCTCGCCTCCCCTCTGTCAGACCTCGAGCGGGTGTACCTGACTTCAGGAACTTATATTGACGTACATCCCATGCCAGTGCCATTCCTTTCAAGCACCACCAATCTGTCTCTTCTGTCGACCAGCGTTCTTCCACGCCTGCTCACCCTTGGCTCTGGTCATACAAAGCAAGAGCACGGGAACCATCACAACAACCAGCTGGGAGCTGCGGAATTCAAACCCTCACACTCCTTTCGTTTCGCCTATCGGCAAAACACCATACTCACTCTCACTTTCCCATCATTCCGCTTCATTCCACTCTTTTCCGTATTTTGTATAGCTTCCCGAGGAATCTTGCCCCGGGGCGAAATTGGACGAAGACACAAAAAAACGAGCTTGCACATGTCCCTGCCCTTCTCTTAACACAAACAAAACCCTGTCCAGCCCCGCGAAATTCCTGAAGAGTCATTCCTTTTCTTTCTTGCCTCCCATCCTCCATTCTTTCTCTCAGGGGTTCCGTTCTTCTCAAGGAATCCGTTTACATTTCAGTCGACCTCGCCAACGCAAACCGTTCCCCAGACTCCAGTGGGGGACGATACTGAGAAAGAACGGAAACGAACCTTACCACATCGCCGGAATCCGTCATCGACATACCCAGTAACGAACGTTACGCTGCAAGAAGAAGCGTAACGAGATTCAATATGGAGCATCCGCGCCCCGTGCTCCCATCTCAGCGTTACTCCCCTTCGCCTGTCTACAGCTACGATAGCAGACGATGCACACCAACCGGCAGGCAGCCACTGAGGGAGTCAACGGGCAACGCCCAGACTGGATCTCACCTGGGGAGTCTGGCCTCGTCGTGCCGCAACAGCCCTTTGGGCCTCTTCTCTCCGGGGCTTACCAACATCCCTACTCCTCCTGTCGTGCCTTCGCAAGCTGGGGCAAGCTACCGGAGCAGTGGTAGCCTTCGGAGGCCAGATGCTCTGCACCTAGCTGCGAGACGAGGACGACATGACATCAACCCCATCTACTATGCTCCCGAGTTTCGCCCTTACCGGGACAAGCAGGACCAGAAAGACCCCAATGAAAAGCAAATTTGGCCTCGTGTACTGGAGGATGCGTTCCTTGACTGTAAGTCTCCTTCCACTGAAGAACCCAACGTATCTCTAACCCAGGCTTCCAGCACTGCTTATCATTCCCCACATGGGAAGGAAGAAGTATAGCATGCAAGGAAAGCAATTTGGACGCAACATGCTCATCAGCGAGTACCTCTGGATTGCCTACTGTTGCAGCTTGCAGCCCGGGCAGAAGGCTGAGGAGAGAAAACGAAAGCAAGTATCCAGCCACATTCAAGTTGTAAAGAAAATGTTTGAGAAGCACAGATGCTGTAAGTCAATTTTACTGGGCCAAGTCGACCACGAACTCACATCATGTAGATCACTTTTTTTTCGTCAAGGATCCCGACAAGAGCGAGGCCCGTCTTAAGGACAACCTGGAAATGGCCTCCTTCAAAGACAACCCAGTCCTGATTGCCCTTTCCGAGAGCCGTCTCCCGGACGTCCGACCCAACTACGAGTACTTTGCCCAGATTCTGGCCATGGACTCTCTTGTTGTCATGCGCCCCAAGACGGCCTGGATCTTCGTTGCCTCGTCCGGCGTGAGGATCGAGGAAAACGGCGACGCCTACGACCAGAACGGCAAACTCCTCGACCACGAGTACTACCCCCACTTGGAGAAGAACCTGCACAAGGAAGACGGCCTTTCTCGCGGCCTCAACGGCAGCGTTCTTCTGCACGAGTACAACCGCGAGCTTGCGCAAAAGGAATCTGCCGCGGTGACAGAGCTGTCTCAGGAATGGGAAGCCAAGTTCACCCCTCTGCACAAGTCGCTCGAGTACGCCATCGCCGACAACAAATGGCTTGACATCCTGGAGATGAATGTGACTCTCGAGATCCATCCCCGCAGCAACTTTCCCGCTGGCTCCGAGCTCAACGGCTTCGTCGAGCTTAGCATCTCCCAGCCTGCGCTCCAAAACCACAGGTGGAAGTGCGTCACCAAGCTCGCGCGACCGGAGGAACTCCGCCGTGGCGAGAACGAGCCCTGCGTAGTCGAGCAGACGAGCGAGGTCGGTGTGCAGTACACACACAGGCCCGGATGCCAAGACAACAAGTTCGACTGCGACTGCCGCTCCCGCCCCAGACAAGATGTGCGAGTCCCGTTCCCCGCAGCCGAGTGGGCGAGCATCCTCAGCACCTGCGCGGGATACCTCGAGCCGGTCGAGAACAAGACCAAGATTGAGGATGACGACGAGAGGGTCAAGGCCGCCGAAGAGGCCGCCCTCGAGGCAGAGCGCACCACGGCAGAGCTGATCCAGCAGGTCGGCATGTTCCAAGAGCTCTGGTCTGCTCCACCGGACAACAACGCCGACCGTCGTGTCTGGACTCGCCGCGGCATCATCCTCTGGAAGTTCCGCACCATCCACGCCTTCGACGACAAGTGGAACCCCATCTTCGAGAAGCCGGCTGCGCAGAAGGGTAAGCGCCCGGCGGACGAGGAAGGCGACGAGCACACTGGCTCCTCTCGTCGCGGAGGAGGAGGCCGACCCAAGCGGGTCTTCAACCCCCCCGGCACGACCTGGCGCTTCCTGACGGCGCTCGACCCAGTCTCGCAAGCCCATCAACAGAACGTCTGCGTCAACCCCGCCGCCGCTCCGAGCCGCGACATGCTCATGGCCCCCACACCCCCCTACTCCCACCACCTCGCCGCCGTCATGAACGACAATATGAGCTCTGCCTGGGAGTCCGTCACCATGCCTGGCCAGCTGCCGAGCCTCGCATCAACCGGCACCCTCGGCCTCATGGACAGCTTCTCACACGGACTGGCCACACCTCCCCCGACGGCATCCATCCACTCGTCTTACGCAAGCAGCTACGACGGCAGCCACGAGCTGGCTGGCGGGTCGCACCATCAACTCGACTTCCTGGCCGGGACTTGCACGACGTCCATGGACAGCCAGAGCACCTTGATCACCGACATGGCGCCGACCCCGGCCGACCCGTTCCTGTCAGCGACGGCGGGCATCCAGGTTTCAAATGGCGTGGGCGTCGGCGTGTACGATGACGCGGACTGCGAGGGGATCTCCGAGTGGGACACCGCGCCCTCCTTCCACAGCCTGCCCCAGTGGAACGGATGGAGCGAGGCAGCATCGGACGCAAAGACGCAGCAGTGGCAGAACGAGAACCAACGCGCCACGGCGGCCAACTCCAACCTGTGGGCAGGAGATAGCAGCAAAGACCACCACCACCACCACCAACACCAGGCTTGGAACCAGCAGCCGTGGGCCCAGGCCGTCTCGGCAGTCGCTGCCGTGGCCGGCACGGACGGCAGGTCCGGATGGTCACCTGCGGATGGGCTGCCCTCCCTGGACTCGATCAGCCCGCTCAAGTCCCTCACCGGCAGCAGGAAGAGGGCACGCTCCAACAGCCTGGACATGGAGAGCCGGGAGAACTTCCCCGCGACCGCCATTCAGAAGCTGGTGCATCACCGAGCGCCGGCAGCCGTCATGGACGAGGGTAGTCACGGACATCGGAGTTGGGACTGAAACATCTCATGGTCGGCCGACGGCGGCAGACGAAGGATGTAACATCACCTCGGGAAACATGCGCGTGTGGACTGCGCGGCAGGCTATCTGAGGCGCAAAGGATGAGAGCAAAGAAAAGGGGGTTGGGAAGGTTGATGGGGGTGGGATGATTGACGGCCGACTCATGTGTGAAACGCTCAAGAAAGGTATCTTGGGAAGGGACGGAAATGTGTTTTGACGTATAGAAAAGAAGAACCCTTTGATACCATAATGTAGGTGGGAGAGAAGCAGGCAGAGAGAGAGAGAGAGAGTTATGGCATGTGTTTGCTGCGCACCACACACACACACACCACCACCACGCAAAAACAAGCGGGTAACAAAAAAAAGAATTGACTCGGTTTCTACCTCGCAGTTGCATTGGCCCGACAAATGTCTTGTTTCTCCTGTCATGCCTATTGTCCGGACGAGCGAGTGGTTCAGAGAGCTTCTGCAGGTGATGAGATGAAACGCAGAGAACGTGGTTCAGCCAAAGGGACGTTCCCTGGTCCGTCGTCTCGTCAGTCAGTCGGGGGGGATTGGATTACAATCTCTGTGGGGTCATCTCTCTCTCTCTGTCTGTCTCTTTTCTTGTCCTCATCAGCGTTTGAGGTGATGGAAGCTTAAAGATCAGACGATCCTCGATGGGCTGCCAAGACCTGATGTTTTGCGTTTTGCGTAGCTGTGGTTCCTCCGTTTCGCTCACGTTACTTTGCTGTCGCTAATTGGAGACCACAGTCGTAATGCTCACGCGCTGCCGCCCGGGGGCCGCCGGGGCGTTTAGTCGCGGGACGGTGGATAATGATCTCCTGGGAGGATCAATCGCTCTGACGGTTGGACGGTGGGACGGAGATTCGTGGAGTTGGAAATGTTTCACTCGAAGCACGAAATATGCGGAGTGTGCACGCGTGGATACTGCAGCAGCAGGCGAAAGGACCATCTCGAGAAGTGGGCGGGGCGGGGAGGAGGAGTCGACGTGCTTTGGAAGCGAAAAGATGATCAGTGGGAACCAGAAAAGATGTTCGCAGGGTTTTTCTTTCTGACTTGGGGGTTGGGACGGACACACAGGGGGCATTGGACTGAGTGCGAGTGCGTGTGCAGTGTGTTGAGTGTGTGGTCTGAACAACATGGACGGCAGGCGAGATGAAACGCTGCATGTCTGAACACTGGCGACCGAGGTGTGTGATATCGCGAGAACGGTGGTGGCAAAATAGGGGCCATATTGGCCAGTGAGTCTTTCGGTATGTCTCCAGAGATATCGCGCAACGGTCCGTTGACGATGTTTCTTTTCCCAAGAGATTGTGATGTCCAATGGATGGCATGAGGTGAGATTGCGGCGGCAACGACAAGCGCTGTCAAGACTAGGCCTCACAGCCACGATTTTGAAAGGAGCCGTGATCCGGAGATGGCGCGCCGGGGAGCGGGCGGCGGGCGGGCTTTAGTGGCTGTGGAGCCGGCGAAGAATAGCCCCAACGCCCAAGTGGTTGCAGTGAACGGGGGATGCGCACAGACGATGAGACGTGTGGGAGGATTTGCAAAATTCCCACCACGACCACCACCGGGGGCCCACGAGAGCGAGGGTAGACGAGCACTTTCCTGCCCTTGAGGGTTGGGGAGGAAGATCATGGACGCTCGCCAGGGATCGCAGACTGGGGGTTTGAGGATGGGCGGGCGAAAGATTTGGGTTCTAGAGCATTGAGCACGGAGGCGAAGGTGACAATCTCCAGACAAGACAAGACTGGGTATCGTTGGCTTGGTGTTTGGGTGCTAAGGTAGGGGTCGTGGGCCCGTGTTTCGCGTCAACTTGAAGTCTTTTTCCCCTCCTGCTTCTCGTCTTTGGGTTCTGCTTCTAGACGCCGTCTGACGTTAGCTTACAGATCCAGGCCCAAGCTTTCTGCAGCATGTACCAAGAGAGTATATGAAGTCGACTGACAGCAGATATCGTTGGTGGCCGTACTCGGTCCATCTGACACGACCAAGGTGCGAAGAATCGCGCAAGATAGGAGACGTAAGGTTATCGAGTGAGCAAGATGTTGCTAGGATGATGTTGCTGGGATGCGGCGACGCTAGCGTCCGTCGAGTTGGTCGGGTCATGGATGGTGACGGATGATGGGTGGGAATTTGGAGTTGGTCGAAGCTCCGAGGTGGGTTGAATTCTTGTATATCCGCGACTCCATCCGCGGCAAGAAAGACTGGGATTCTTGGCTTCAAACAAGGCATTTGGCAATTGCCATTGGGAGTGCCGGCACGAGACGCTGTACTCTGGTCGCCCGGACAAGAGACGACGAAAAAACAGCCTGTGGGTTCGGGTCTTGGCAGAGAGATTTCGGTCCTTTCTTTTTCAAATTCCGTTTTAGACCTCGCCGTCACTTCCGGCGGCAGTGTGCGCCAACGGCAGCCAATCGAGCACACGGGCAGACCCATGATCTCTGGCTGCGCGGTAAAGATGGAAAGAAGCGGTGGCTGGGTCAAGAGCTCGGGGACCCATTACGGTACCTTAAGGTACGTTACTGAGAACAGGTAGCGAGGGGAAGAAGAAAAATGGTGAAGAAGCGGGCGGGAATGGCGTCGAGTGGCTGCCCAGGGAAAGAGCGGCCTGCAGCGATGCATCTCAACCCGACGGCTTGAGTGAGTGACTGACTGACTGAGGAGTCCAGACTTTCATTTCTTGGGATGCCAATTTTGGCAGGCGCCGCAAGGTGCAGGCAGCGCCTGCCAGTCGAGGTGGTTGCGGACCCTTGCGTCTGGAGCTCGCTTAATTCGGGCAGGGGCCGCATGGACCTGGTTGACTGGATGAGGTGCATCGATCCTCAGAGCAGCGCGAGCCCCTTGTTCCAGATTTTGCTGTGAAGCATCGCGACCGAGGTACCGCAGCCATACGATTTGTGCGGGGAGGCTACATGTTTCGGCGTTCGCTGGCGACCCCTGGTTTCCAAGGCAAGCGTGGCGGCTACCCAAGAGTCAAGATCGCTGCAACTCCACGAGAACCGGTACCTTGCGGCGGGAGAGCAGCGCAGAACGGTACTTACGAGCCAACGTCCCCACTTGGGCCTAGTGCCAGGTACCCCGACCCACCCACCCACCCACATCAGTACGTACTCTACCCACACAAGCGTGTAGCGCAGGCCATCTCCCGTCAGTCAACGTTGTTGCTGCTGCAGCTGCACTCGCAAAGTATCGGTGCCAAGACTCGCACTTCAACCTCAACCCTTCCCTGTCAAACACCAACCCGGGGCTCTTGTTCGCAACGACGTCGACTGGCGCCCAGCACTCCCCATCAGAAACACGCCCTCTTTTCCCTGGCTCTTCGTCCCATAACGAGACCCGTCCGACCCTATGGCCGGCCCCCCGGCATTCGAGTGCTTTTGCACGCTCTTTGGCCAGAATCCCCCTGTCCGAGTGCCATCCCGCCCGCGTGCCTCCATTGCTGTCGTTTTGGATCGCGACTTCCAAGATGCGCCGCATGGGTCTTTGCCTGTCGTTCGGGTCCCTTCTCCGTCGATCATGGCTCGCTCGCCCACCCTGCAGCGGCCGAGAGATGTAGAGTGCAGAAAAAACCATGAGTCTAGGCAGATGAGTGACGGTAGGGATGGCATGGGTAAGGCGGCAGCTCGTCGTGAGGTGTCTGGTGCCTGGTGTGGTGACACGCTCGTGATATTAAACCCAACCTGGGCCTCGCATCCCAAAACGGTCTTGACCTCACCTCCTCACCCACCCGCCATCAACGCCTCTTTCTTCTTGTGCTGGCCACCGCCTCGCCTCGCTAATTCGGGACGAACAAGGCAGAAACAATCGCATTGTTTCCCTTTTCCCTTGAGGCCTGTTATCGAGACCGCCCTACCTTAATCTCCGTCGCTTCTTTGTCGTACGCGCTTGAGGAAGCCAGGCCTCCTGCCTTTAACCCTCCATTGTTCCTTCCTCGGATCAACTCGACTGTTCGCTCGCCTCACCTCTCACCTCTCACCTGACCTCGACGCTCGAATTCACCTCTACCGCCGCCCCACTTCGACCGAAAGAAAGAGATAGAATCGACTGCTGGCCTCGACCGCATGTAGTACACAAAGCCGGCCGCCCATTTCCTGTTTTCGCAGCCCTCTTCAGTTCTTGACTCAGCTGGTATCTGACTGCGCCGGACGTCTTAATCACAACAACAAATTTACGCCTCGGCCACCACTCACACAACCCTTCTCTCACACAACCTTCCATTCAGACTTGCTCTGTTCACTTCTCAGTCTCGGCCACCTCAACTCAGTATTTCTGGCCTAGACCTCTTCCTTACAACTTCTGGAAAAAGTTTTATCTTCTTTTCAAAAACCTGCAGGAAAAAAAAACAACCAGCCAACCCAACTTCGATTCTTCTGGAAGACTCGACCAGCAGACGCTCTTTCCCGCGCTAGACCCTGCCTCTCTTGGTTTGTTCACCTACCTCCCCGTTGTTCACAACAACCAGCCCTAATATTTATTTTTTCCAGCCCATCACTCACTTTTTTGTGATCTTCACAAAACACTTCCCTGATTCACATTTCCAGAATCAGGCCCATCACAAGAATCATCTTTTGATTCTCAGCATCAACACAAATACCCTTATCCCCTCACTTTCCTTCTCACACCACTCACACCCACATCACGAATTTCACAATGGCGCGCAGTAACACTCTTGCTTTCGTCGTTGCCTGCCTGCTGGGCGCGCCTCAGCTTGCCAGCTCCCACACCTGGGTTGAGCAGCTCAACCGCGTCGCTGCCAATGGCACTCTTGTCGGCCCTGCTGGCTTTTCCAACGGCTGGCACGGTCGTGATGCCTCCTTCAACGACGAGGCCTTCACCAACCGCATCCCCAACGAGGGCTTCAACCTTTGCAAGCAGAACCTTCAGGGCACCCAGAACGCTCAGTTCCCTCACCTGACCGCTGCTCCCGGCGACTATGTTTCCCTCCGCTACCAGGAGAACGGTCACGTCACCAAGCCTGAGAACCCCCCCAACAAGCCTCTGAACCGCGGTACTGTCTTCGTCTATGGCACCACTAACCCCCGAGCCAACGACACCCTCTTCGACGTTCATCGCCAGTGGACTGCTGATGGCAAGGGTGGTGATGCCCGTGGCAAGCTCTTGGCTACCCGCAACTACGACGATGGCCAGTGCTACCAGGTCAACGGCGAGTCCATCTCCACCGACCGCCAGTCGAAGTTCCCCCACGCAGCTGCCCAGCCCATGGGAGCCGATATCTGGTGCCAGTCGGCTGTCCAGCTCCCTGAGGATGTTGCCCAGAACTCCGAGTACACTCTCTACTGGGTCTGGTCCTGGCCTACTCTGAAGGCCTCTGCCGTCGCCAACTCCAAGAATGGCCAGTTCGCCGACTTCCCCTCCGGCTTCAAGGGCGACAAGCGTGCCGTCACCTCTGATGATGTCACGACCGCTGAGATCTACTCCAGCTGCTCCACCATCAAGGTCCAGGGAGAGGCCCTCGTCAAGAGCGCCAACGCTGCCTCTGCCTCTACCTCCAACAAGCAGCAAGCTAACGCGCTGGCCGCCTTCAACTTCCCTGAGAAGCCCAACTACAACGCCATCGCCGTCAAGGACCAGATCCAGAACCAGTTCCAGGTTGACGTCAAGGGCGACGATACCCCCAGCAACTCGACCATTCCCGGTAACGGCTCTGAGAAGGTTGTCTCTTCCTCTGCCCCGACCACTCCCACGCCCACTGGCGACAAGGTCCGCACCGTCACCGTCACGGCCGCTCCTGTGACTCTGTACTCGATGCTCACCGTCACCATCGCTCCTCAGGCGACCCCGACTCCTTCGCAGAACCCTGCCAACCCTGCCAAGTTCGTCGACGGCGCTGCTCCCGCTTCGGTCAGCCCTACTCCCTTCCTGAAGGGTCGCCACGTCCGCGGCAAGGACTCCTGGAACTTCAACCCTCGCATCTAAGCCACGGAGGTTACTTGCTTGAGGAAGGGCCACATTATCCTTTCAGCAGTCTCACCAACAGACTTCACTCACAGCAACAACTTCCCTGCTTGAATGTTTCTCTTCTCACATTGCGGTCCTGGTTCGACCGGTTTCTTTTCTTTCCTTTCTCGTCATTACGACTCATTGACGCTTATGACCCCACGCATTCCATGAACACCCTTGCCGCAATACCACTTTTGGGCATTCTTTCATTTTTCTTCGGCCAAACAGTACATACAAAGGATACAGGGCATTGTTTCTCTTTCAACCCCCCTCTCCGGATTCACGGTTACGGAATTGGACAGCAGTCATGAGGTCAACGGAGTATGAAGGGCATTTGAATTTTACAGGATACACCCCAGGCGGAATGGGGTGGGGACGGAAAAGGGTTCAGGTTTTTTCATCACAACTGGAGGGGCATACAAATGGTACTGGCATGTGCTGGGGCGTTCAAAGGGGGATTGACCTTTTCGGATGATACCACCTCTCTCTTTCCTTTTTTTTCTTTACTTTTCAGGTCTCTCTTCAAGGATTCTATCATGTTTCTGGCCATATGGGTCTCCCACGAGGCCTCATCTTTTCTTGTTTTCTAGATCCTTTCCAGATTTGGGTGTCCCCCTTCCAGGTTGTGTGGCTCGACGCGACACTTAAGGGACGTGGGATGAAACTTGGAGGATGGCTTCGGATGAACGGGGGACTCATGGATGGAAGCTAGTACACTGGGCTAGATGCTCCAGTAGGTAGTCAAATGGAATCAAGTACAATCACTTCTTTGTTGCCTCGTGACACGTCAAGGTTACCGTGACTAACATATCAGTGATGACGTACCGTGAATCAATCCTCGCGCACCTGTGCCTCAGCGGGGTGCAGTAATGTGAGTGTCCAGGAAGTTGAAGTGAGCTTGACCTTGGCCTCTTTGACATGCTCCAAGCTGACTGGGTGCTTTCTAAGCTCACACCTGAATGAACCCAGGAGTTGGATCCATGGAGATGGGATGACTCAAAGCTGACATCAATGCGAAATGGGCCAAGGTTTGGATGACAATACTCTCTCACGGGGACTTGTTTGCTTGGATGGTCGGCTGATGGCCATGGCTAGAGCTCGCAGAGCAATATTATTCCACGTAACATCAAGGACTTGGACGAATCCGCGAGCCGTTATTGCTTGCCTCCATGACGACGAAGACAAAAAGTTGTACCTGGGAGCGTGTTTTTGCTCCGTGGAAAGTTGGATGCTACCTAGGCCTGTCTAGCTTCTCAGCTTCAGGACGGAGAGAACCATCACGTCGGCAACGGCGCGAAAGTGACTATCATGTTCTGTCATCAGACGACTACCGCGGCTCTTTTGGTAATTCCAGTCCAGGAATAATACATGGTGGGAGGTCTAGAAAAGCTCCAATACATCTGAAACCAGCCTTGTGCTCCCACTAAACCGGGATGATGGGATTGGGCATATCCCTGGGAAACATGTGACTCCAGTCGATTGCTTCCTCCTCCGAGGCGTCCCTGAAAGCCCTCAGCTCGTCTCGACTCCTGCAAGATCCGTTCATTCTCTGCAAGGCTTACATCTCGCCGCACTGGGCGATGACCACATCCTGGTTGGGCTGGTCCTTGCCGCGGTAGCCCGTCTTGGTGGCTTCCATCATCTTGACGACATCCATGCCGTCGACGACCTTGCCGAAGACGACGTGCTTGTTGTCGAGGAAGGGCGTCGGGACCGTGGTGATGAAGAACTGGGAGCCGTTGGTGTTGGGGCCGGCGTTCTGGATTTCGGTGTTAGTGAAACTTGGTCGCGAGAAGCCGTCGCCGCGGACCCCCCGGGCTGAGCCAGAATAGACGGGTCGCAAATTAGGAAAAGTTGGGTACAGAAGAAAAACATGAGAAAATCACGCCACGGAAGACCGGAGGGGGGAACTTACCGCCATGGAAAGCAGACCGGGTTGGTCGTGCTTCAGGTTGAAGTTCTCGTCGGCGAACTTGGTCGTGCCGTAGATGCATGTGCTCCCCGTCCCGTCGCCGTTCAGGAAATCGCCGCCCTGGCACATGAATCCCTGGATCTACACGTCATGAATCCGTTAGCACCTCTGTATTCCCAAACTTCATCGCGCTTCTGTTTCGACATGCACGACTGCGGGGAGTAACTGACTATACGGTGGAACTTGGAGCCCTTGTAGCCCTGCGGCCGGCCTTGGGCGTTCTTTGACTCGCCGGTGCAGAACTGGCGGAAGTTCTCAGCCGTCTTTGGCACAACATCGTTGAAGAGCTCGAACGTGATGCGGCCCAGAGGCTCACCTACGCAGCACAAACGTCAGCGAACACCGCCGGGAAACGTGGGCCCGCGGGCTCGGGATGACCGGGGTCGGGAGGGAAGAAAAGAGGAGCGGGCGCCGGAGACTGGAAAGTCAAAAAGAGCCAAGCCGGGGCTGAGAATGTCAACGCCACGATCTCGTCGGCGATGACAGCAGTCAAGATAAGAAGGAACCCTCCCCTGTCGAACCGCCTGATCGGTGGCAGCGGGTAGTGCATGCAGCACAGAACCTTCGAGCCCAGGCCGTCCGTCTCGGCGGGTTGCCCACGTGCCCGAGATGTTCGAATGGCTTCATGACTTCACGACTTCCAAGACATAGTGTCTGGCCGACGGCTTCACCAGTCCGTCCGGCGCCGAGCCCGTTTCCCCTCCTTCGCGTCCCCGCACCGCCGAGCTGGTGGTCCCCAATGAGGAAAGGCCTTCACATACCGCCAAGCGTGATATCAAAAAACACCCTGTTGACGCGATGTGTTAGTCTCTTGGGTGCTGCCGAGGCGTGGGCGCGCGACAATAATGGGCAAGGTCGGGGTAAACTCAAGACCCTTCTTTTTCGCTTCCCCTCCTTTGGAGGTTGGGCTACGTTGGACGCGTGGAGCTCAGCCACCGCGATACCTGCAGCCCATGCTTGCGCTGGACGAGCAGTCCCCGGTTGTGGAAGTGGTGGTGAGTGTGAGAGCAAGAGTGAGATAAGGCGGGTGTGCGGCGGAGCTCAATACAGCCAAAGGTAGTTGCAACCCAAAATCTTGCGGGGTGTAACATCAAAAGAAAGAGAGACGGCGGTTGAACAACTTACAGCGGGTTGCCGGATTCCGGGAGCTTTGTGGGAGGCATGGCTAGTAGAGTCGGTCGCGCGATACGTGCGTGTGTGAGTGTGAGTGTGCCTGCGGGTGGTTTGAGCCAAAGAAATCAAATGGCGCGTCTTCTGCTGCTGCTGCTTCCTCCGTGGTCCTGGTCGTCTGGTCGTTTTCCGCGCACCCGGGAATGGGGCTGTGTTCGGAACTGGTGGGAAGGCGGTCGAGAACTCGCCTGAATTTGAGTTGGTTGGACAAACGATTCGTTGGCTGGTGAGAAGTGGGAACAGAGTTGTGAGGGGGACCTTGGAGGGGACTGGAGCCGAGTTGTCGGAACGGCTGGTAAAGAGTGGGTACCTCTTCCGCCGGGGCACAGCCGTTTGCATGTCCGGGCGGAGGTGCGGTGAGTGCACAATATGACCTGCCCAAATGGGTCAACCTTTTTATCTTTTGAAATTCCTTCAGAAATGCCTCAACTAGAAACCGAGGGTTTCAGAGATCGTCTCCATGAATTGCACGCGTATTCGAAAATGGGAATGAGCAGACATGAGTGTGGACATGTGACAACGAAAAGCAAAGATAATATCGATTATTGCGAACTAAATCTCGTAGAAATCCCAGAACACTGCGTAAATCAAACTTCAAAGTAGTCAGCCGAGCCAACCATTCCGAATCATGCATCATTGAACGAGAAGTTTTGGAACTGTGTGGTCGGGGTCCCTGTAGGTTTCTGTCCATAGATAGACAAGCTGTAAAAGTCAGGAACAAAGTCTTGAAGGGGGAGAAACTGCACATTTACGGGATTAATAGGGGCGCAAGGGGGGGAGGGGGGGGTCTTACATGTTAAAGTAAGCGTGGATGTCTCGATTCGCAAGATCTTTACGAGCATGCATCGCAAGTACATGAACCTCCGCCTTTTTCCACTGCAGCCCTCGCGTCAACGGGGCCATCAGGAGACCGTCGAGATTCGGAGCCAGGTTCTCATAGTTCCAGAGCCCAAGCTCTCGGAGCTTAGGGTCAAGAGGCCATGCGTTCGTAGGCCATTTGAAACACTGGACGCGGATATCTTGAAAACCAATCTCGGTCATAAGGCTCCCGAACCGGCTGAACTCCTGAAAAGGAGACCCGAGAGCTGCGAGCGCTTCATGGCACAGCACGAAAGCCTTCCACAGACTGTGCTCCTCCGTGAGGCTTCCATCGTCTGAGATGGGGAAGAAATCGACATCGTTGAGCTCAAGATAGCCTCCTGGGCTGAGGTTACTAATAGTTCAGCGATTAGTAACTGATGGGACCGAGATTCAGAATTTAGATATAACTAACTCGAAACATCTTTGGAGGTATGTCCGCCAGTCGCGGATACTGCCCATCATCATCCGGCTGTGGATATAGTCAAAGGGCTGCGAGAAAGTCCACGGCTCCTCAATGTCATCGATCTCAAACCTGACATTGGGAGGAACGCTATGAGAACCATCAGTATCATCACATACACCATGCCACAGGTTTGGATTTGCCTGAGCATCTTACTACTCAGGTTGGGAGGCAGATAGATCGATGCCAACAACCTATCAGCATGTCAGTAGAGTTCCCGGAAGAGCAACCGGGGACTCTAGGCCCCACTTACATCAGCTTCTGGATGCTCTTCTCCGAAATCGATGGCCCAAATGCCGGTGCCAGTGCCAACGTCGAGGACCCGCCTCACGGTCGATCCCGGCGCGCTGGGCGGAGCTGTTGCGAGACGATCGTCGAACGTCAGCATGTAGAGGTTGTGAACCAAATCTATATTTGCCGCAATAGCCACATTAGCCCAGAATCACAAGGTCGTGGCCTGTGTTTTGCATATGGATAGGCGCACCAAGTCTGTCTAGCTCTACCTCGTCGTTGGGCGCCCAGTATTCTGGGTCTGTTAGCCAGGTCTCACGATTTTTCGCAGGCAGAAACAATTTGGAGCACATACTCCCTTCCTTGTATCTATGGTACGTTCGTCCATTTTCCCGCCGGTATTCGAGAATGGAGTCGGTGACGCTCCGGGTTGACGGCGGCCGACCGTCCTTGGGGCCGGCGCCGGGCGGATCGACGTCCATTGAAGAGGAGCTGTGGACCGTGGCGTTATCATCCGACATCTTTCGAGCGATGAGAGCGAGAACAACAATGTTATGATGCAGCGCAGGCAACTGTTGGGTTCAAATGAGTCTCGGTCTGCGGGCAGAAATGTGCAGCCTCGCGGTTGGCGCCAAAGCAAACAAGCTGCGCGGCAAATTATCCCATTTTGGACTTCTGGGCTGTTGGTTCTCCTATGTTGGTTCCAACAATCACTGGAAGGCCCCTCTCGTCTCTGCTGGGGACCGGTTCCGCATTATTTCTGCTACCAACCATCAGTCTGTAGAGCAACCCCTGCTCATAGGGGAGCATCCGCCAAGATTGATAACAGGCGTGCGGCGCAGCAATGTCTGGCGGTATCCGCGACCTCAAAAACACGTCTTGTCCATGATGGCTTCATGATCTGTCTCCTACTGCGGAACCACCACATACGACCATATCCATCGGAAAATTCGGGATCCCGTCCGCTCTCCCAGAGACAAGCCGATGAGAGCCGGAGTAGTAGTCGGGTCGGTGACGACCGGCGAATGCCTGGTGTTGTATGTCTTTTTGGCAGTTTTGTTGGCTTGAGGCTGGTATCCGTTCTCAAACACGGCGGCCATTTGGGGATAGGACAAGCACCATCTAGCTGGGTAGTGAGTTTGATTATGGCCCTTTGAATGCTTGTAATGCTTGTATAAACTCGACATACGTTTTCGCCGTGGTTGTCGAATGTCCGCGCGAGCCCGGTGACTAGACACGAATCCACCATGATAATTGTACACAACTTCGTGTGTGCCTGGGTAGCCGCGGGTTGACATTTCAAAGTACATACAGTTTCGGCGTTTAATTAGCAAACAACGAAGTAGGTCTAAGACTGGTTGATAACTGTCATTCCGGTTTCGTTGCTGGAACATGGCATTTGGAGAACGAATTCTCAACTCCCCAAGTTCTGGATCGCGGAGTAGTATCAGTCGAAGCGAAGCCGGCTCTCGTCTCCAGTTGCCGCTCCGCAACCTGACTAGAACTGCATGCCGCAGTCTGTCTATACACAGTCAATCCATTGCGCACAAGACAGCCTATGTCGCATCATGCTTGACCCCCTTATACTCCTGAATGGGCCGTATAAGTCGCAAAGAGCTCGTCTGAGTTCAACCCCAGTAGCTTGCGACCACTCGAAATTACGATCGAGACGTCCAGAGACCCCCGCGGCGAGGGTGTCGTTGCCAACTTCAGGAGGCATGATCACCGAATATATCTGAAATCCAACAATACAGAAGAGACTAAGGATCGACGGGGCCCCATCCGGCGCAGCTCGCGGAAGGGTCCTCTTCCGTCGGGCCTCCCTAGCACGGGACACCCTCCGTTCCGGAGCCGGCCGCGTCCGCGCAGGCCACCTCAATAACTATGACACTTGACAGGAATGCTTGGCCCTTCCGGACTCGAGTAATTGAACAGCACTGACCCCCTGATAACCCGAGTAAAAAAACCATCTTCTCTGATGTCGGAGGGTCCCCCATGACTTTGAACCCAAGGGAGGGCCGCCGTTGTACATAAGCTTCTTCACCTGAAAAAAGCTTGGTGTCGCAGTTGAAACAATAGATCAGCCACACGAGCTAGACGTGCATGTCTGTAGCTCGTGTCTTTCGAGACAAACCCAAAGTCTGTCTGGGCAGATTTTAAATTGCACGACACAGGCTGAGAGGTTCTCGCGAACGAACTTCTTATCCCAGGGGCCTCCCTCCCTGCGGACCATGAAGACTTTCCGTAAATGAGCCCTGCGAGGTCTTCCCGCTCTTCTCAGACACGTTATTGGCAAGGATGCCACATAGGAAGAAAGTAATACGCAGTCTCGCGTGCCAGTCGCCCCACGCGTAGCATGGCCTTTTTCCGCCCCTCTTCCTTTCGTCGTAGCCGCCCATGAAGTATCTTTGCTGCCGCACTTCTCTCCGGACGCCCAGAAGCACAACCCTCCCGCGGCTTGTTTAACCACTGGCCGGTGGGGAAAGGAACGCAAAGGAAGGAGACAGGCACGGAAGCGGAGGCCCAGGATTCGGACGCGTAACCGGACTTCGGGTTGATTGAATGACTGGCCCGCCCAGCCCTCGGCCAAGAGAGGCTGGGAACGGGGCCAAGAGGACCTCCTCATCGCTCCACACCTCCGTACCAACCATCGTCTCCGTCGTCGCACACGACCAGAGATGTGGACAAAAAGAACTGCGCCATGTCGTGCAATCTGGAAGGACCGGAAAGAATTCTTGACCCTATTTCTCGCATCAAAGTTCCTGAGTTGACAGCAGCAAGTGTCCCATTCTGACAACGAAACTGAACCGTCTCCGTCGGGCGGCGCGGAGTTCCAAAATCTGACCGTCCGGGCGTAGACCATCCTCGCCCTTTGCCGTGTTGCCCGCCGCCGCCGTTATCGCAGGGGCTTGCGCTGGGAAGCTTGATTCCAGCAAGTCCAGCCCGCTCCCCGGATGGCGCGGCGTCGAAGATCGACAGCACCAGCCAGGGTGTGCGGAGGGGACGAGGGGGGCCCGCAGTGTGCACAAAGGAATTGGGGGTTCCATCGAAAATGATCTCATCCATTCCTGCCGACGACCAATTGGCTCATGGCAAGTCTTGAACCAGTCCAGTTCTTTCTTGCTGCAGACTGCAAGAGCAGCAAAACAACCCGTAATAATGGCATCGTGAGACCCCGTCGCCCTCACACGACCGGGGGTGCTGTTATGTTTCGAACGCGGTTCCCCCACATAACCCACGCATGGCCGGGTTGACAGGTCGCCTGCGCGCTCTCGCTCTCGCGCGCGCCAGTTGTATCCGTTTTGCGAAGTGATCACGGTTGCGTCAAGACAGAGTGCCGGCGGCGAGAAGGGCAAGACACGGCGAAGTCTATTGGACGCCGGTGTTCGGCAGTGGGAGTAGCCAAGATCTATGATTTGCGATTTTGGAGGCATGATTTGCAATTCGACATCGGGACATGTAGGTCGTCCGTGAATATTATCACAAATGGCCTGCATAGCCCCTCGCGCCAGTCGTGCCCCGCGAGAGACAACCAACACCGCATATGATGGAATCTGCATTCCCCCGATGAACCCGCGACGAAGGAGAAGCTCGGAAGCCTCCAAACGACTCGTGGCCTGACATCACTTTCTTCGGGATCGAAGCTTGGGTCGTATCATTTCATCCTCAGGGACCTGTGGGCAGAAAACGGGTTTTGTCTCTTTTTACCCGCAGCGCACGGGAATGGTCAGATGGTGTGCAAAAGATTAAGCTTGCGGGTGTCGGCATGTTGCGATAGCTGACCACGAGTTCCCGGCATTCCCGCTGGGAGACTCGTGGTGTTTGTTCGGCGCCAGCCACTGAGATCTGGCGACGATCCCCTCCAACGACGATAAGAAGGTCGGCTGGTTTGTTTAAGGCCGTTCAGGGTCCCCCAGCACCCGAAAGAACGCATGCTGCGGTGAGGATGATGATGGCATGATCCTGGCTGTTACAGGGTCCTTCTTAATAATCATCCAGCCTTCGCAACATTCCTTTTTTTCTCTAGCATTTCGAGCTTGCTGCTTCAACGTAGGTGGGTCGCCTGCCAGCACATGAGGATTTTGCATGACGAGTAGTTTGCCAAATCGACCACCACCCCAGCCGACGCGCCGAACTCTCAAGGCGTACGGGCGAGAAGAACAAACAAGTGCCGGTTGTGATGATGATTGACACGGAGGCGCAGGTCTGGACAATAGCCATAGTCCCGAGAATAGGGGGCAAGGCCATACTAACTATGGCCGAATTAACGGGAGCCAAGCCGTTCTCGTCGCCGTCATCGACGGGGGATTGGTGGTGTGTGTCCGGAGTTTGCGGCACTCACCTTCGGTCAGCGTCATCTGTCGAATCAGCCTCCCTGGGCGCTGGCCATCAAATCCCCAGACGCACCGTGAAAAGACTAAATTCTCATACTGTCGGGCTGTTAGCGACGGATCAATCGGCCTTGCTTCCTTTACACGTATCTTACAAGTGACACCGGTTCCTACGTCTTCTTACAGTAGCTTGTTGCACGTCTGGAACCCTTCCAGACGATGGAACGAACCGCGTCTTTGAGCTATGGAAGCCAGCGCAGCGTTCTCTGCAAGCTATCTTCTCTCGACCGGTGAAAATTGGTAAAGCAAGGAGCGTTTTTTGGTTTTCAATCGCATTAGCTGGGCGCCCCCAGAGACTGCAGTGGTCCTGGCGTCGGCCAAGCTTTACTAAGAAGGCGTCTGGGCTCCTCACAGGGGGTAGAAGGCTTGAGACGGACAACAGTGTCTTGAAGGGACTCGCCAGTGAGGTGAAAGAACTCGCCGTTTGACATCTGATAAGACGTTCGAGACACGCATGTGCTGCATTGCCAGCGTTGCGCTATTATGCTTTTCTTACGTCTGACACCTTTGGTCGGGCCTAAGGGACACTGACTTTCAAGAGAACACTCGATTCCTCGACTAGGTGAGTGGCACTGATAAGTCAACGAAGAGGCGCCAGACGGAAGTTGCAGATGCGCCTTTTGGGAGTGCCGACGGTCGGGCGCGAGGAGTTGAGGCGACACGTACAAAGGAGGATGCATTGACGGTGCCTGAATCAAGTGCGATGCAGAGCACACCGCTGAAGATTACATCGTGGCGAAAAGCGTCGTCTTTGTCTGTGATGCTGAAACATTGGAAAACTTGGGGTGAAATCAGTTGCCCGTCGGTCTAAGCGTTCCGGTCAGGACCATCTGAACTTCCCACTGGCTGCAGCGGTATACGACACGCGCGTTGTTCGTCATGGGCAGAAGTCAAGAGCTATTAATTGCTCTTGTAAGATTTGAGCTGACTGATCGTGCGTTAGATCGCAACACTGAGATGCAGGTTCCATATCGAACGTGTCTGAGGTGTTCAGATGCCTGCCTCCCAACGAGGCGCAATTCAGGACGTCGTATTCCGTGCGAGGCGGGGTGCGTTTTTCTCCTTTTCGTATTGCGCGGATACGTGCGTGATGTAGGTACTCTTCTCCCGTTCATGCGGGAAGACGAGCCGCCATCCTGGGTTGGGTGAAGACAGCGACAAGGGCCTCGAATTACCGTGTTGGCCTGGCCGGGCCGGGAGAGCCTAGTGTCGGCTCGCCGAAGCGCTGCCGACGAAGTAATCGAACCGACATGGTTTTCTTGAGATGGCTCACCGTCCTCCGCCGGGAAGCATGTTCTGGCCATTCGCCATCCGAGGCTTCTGAGTCTGACGGGTTTCCTGACAGTGTTTGACTCGACGGCAGTGTTCTTGCGGAGCTTGTCCGACACGGAAATAATCCAGAGACACCGAGCTGAAGAATTGCTTTTGCTTGTGAAGACCGGGAGGTAGAGTCAAAACAAACTGCCACGGCTGGAAGAAGCAAAAAAAAAGAAAGAAAGAAAATCAGTCTGATTAATACAGGCCGTGTTTGTAAGCTTCCTCCCTACGCAGAGAAGCCTGTGCCAGCCAGCAGGGGTTTCGTTGATGGCGGCGGAGGATGAGAGCAAGTCGCCAACGTGCCATTTTGATTCCAGGCCCTGCCTATCGTGATACTCCCTAGAAAGCGGTTCCATGCGGCATGATCTTCGGAAAGCAATCAGCGCGGCGTACACGCGGTGATTTTGGGCGGGCAAGTCGCGAATGATGAAACACCGAACCGTTCAGATTCTCGTTCGACGCACTAGACTCCAGCCGTTTTTCTTTCTGGCGAACGCGGGTGTTGAAGTTGCTTCTTCGCTTCTCGGACTGGATGCTACTGCATGGTGTCGCGGCCTCTTCCATCAGCCGCCGCAACCCCACCCTTTACCTCGTTCTTTGGGGTTTGGGGATCACCAAAGTGTCGGACTGGGGCGCCGGGGCGGTTGGCGGTGGGCGGTGACGGTAAGGACCAAGTTTGAGTGGCTGACTGCCGTGCTTAGTTCGGGGGCGAAGGCGGACGGCAAGGGCGAAGAACAAAGGCCTTTGTTCGAGTGAACACACAAATCTGTTTACCGCAATCTCTGGGAATTCGATACTTGGCCACTGATTGAGATTGCAAGACGGAAATATGGAATGTGAATGCTCGGCCGTAGACTGGGCGGCGCGCGATGGCACGGATACCATATGCGGCCCATTATATCGGCATGGAAAGACCTCTCGGCCGGGATGTAAATCGTGCGGGCGAACGTCTCTTTTGGAATCTCAGGCGCTCCGGGCGACGAGCGTACCTTGCTTGGGAGACTTTGTATCAAGTTGGCCCCTGGTGATATCTCCTCTGGGATAGGGGTCGTAACATGGAAACCCCTTGATTCCTGGCGGTATCAGCCTCTGAAGCGGGAATATGACGACAAAGGGAAAACGGTCAGCCCGAGAACGGTTGAAGAGCTAGAGTGCCCTTGCTAGAGGTTTAAGGAGAAGGCAAGTGGAAAAAGGATGCAGTTGTGATGCCATTCAGAAGACGTTGAGATGTGAGATGGCCATGCAAAAAGCAGCATGGTGAGAAGACCAGGCCAGCCTTCCTTTCCAGCGAACAGGTGTTGGCTGCCGCTAAGGCGTAGTATCGGTAGAAATAGCAGTCAGCTCGATGGTGAACCCCTGCTCTCAGCGGCTGCAAGGCCCTCCACTGCGTTCTGAGTCCTGTTGTGTGGTTCCCCCGCCTCTCTTTCTTGGTTCCCCAGCCAAGGGCCCGATGCCTGCTGGAACTTGGAAGCAAGCTACCCAATCGACAACGTGAACACTTTAGCAGTCTTGATGCTAAGCTTGAAGGGGGATGGTGGCCTGCTCGAGAGCCCGTCCCACCACTCATAATGTGCCTAGCGTGCCGTTATCTTTCCCAAACAAGACTAGTTCGGCTATCCCGTGGACTGGAAACGAAGTGATTGACGGGGGCTTGGGTCCAAGTGCTTGACTTGCCTGACTGGCGCCCGGACTCTGGAGTTGAGCCCATGTCAGGTCGCTTGGGGTTTGAGAGAATTGTTGGTCGCTCAGCGTCTGTACTCACGCTGGAGAGGTCAGCTAATCAAATCAATAAGGCTGTCAAATCATCCAGACCACGGCATTGTGATTCGCAAATTGCAAATTGCAAATTGCAGGTCCCAGCGGAAGGGAAGGGGAGGAGGGGACTTGCGACGTACTCTCTCTCGAGGCAGTGATACCGTACGGTGTTCATGGCACCCTCCTCTGGCCTCAGCTCTCTCACATTCAGGCTCTCAGCTGTGGCAGGGTGCGCGGCAACAAGGTGCGAGAGGTGAGATGGGAGGTGCAAGCAATGGTGGTACATAGTGTAGTGGTGGTGCACTGGTGCGCAAATTGAAATGTTAATTGTTCAATTGTCTGAGGGATCGCAGTAGCACAGTGCAGCTAACACGGGTCGCCCGCAACCTCGCTCGCCCGGCCTGCATTTTGCGGGAAAGAGGCCCCAGGTCTCCACTCCTGCCTTCCCAGCTCCCCCTCCACCTCCTTGCAGCACCAAGTCCAGTGCAGGCAATGCCCAGTCTCCTCTTCGCTCTTCCCCGTCATCTTCTTCCTTCTCATCCTCGACTCAGTCAGGAATTTAAGTATCTGTTACGATAGTGCGAAGACAACAACTGAATGCAATTCCCTCGCAGCATTCCTCCCGCTTGGCCGAGAAGGCAAACGGAAGCCAGCCCCGGGGAAAAACACAAGAAGGAACCAAAAAGAGCCCGCAGTGTGTTGGCTTGCTCTTTCCGGTCTAGGTGGTGTACCGGGGGGTGTCCCCCTCAGTGAAGGTGTGTGTGAGAGAGCGTGTGTGTGGTGTCTGGGTGTCCGGGTGTCCGGGGGGTCCTTCCTGCTCCTCGCACTCACTCCCCTTGCCCGTCGGCGTCGCTCCTCCCTCACACTCACGACGCTCTTTACCCGCCCGCCGCCTCGCATTTCCACTTTTATTTTTCCTACGTCGACCCGACCGGGGGGCTGTGTTACTGTCCTGTCCGTCAGAGAGTGAGCGTCCCACAGTACCGTTCCATACTTATCCCACTCCACCTGCACTTTCCCACCCTCCGCACTCTTCCTGCCTGCCTCTGTCAACTCTCAACCTCCCCCATCCGACTTTGAGTCGTGAGTTTTCTCTCGTTTCAATTTCCCTCTGCTCACCGCGACCGCTGTGCAACACGGCTTGAGTGGATTGGGATATCGAATCACTGCCATACCCTCTGCCCGAGGGTTTTTCCCTTTTTTTCACTGTGACTTGCGTTGATTGCAGGCCGCATGCGATCGAGGGTTCAGGTCGACCATTTCCGTCACGAGACGCTGTTTTCGGATTCCGCGTTTCACCTCTAGGCTCTTGCCTTCCCGCAACAGTCAATCAATCAATTAATCGATGCCCTCGTCTTTCCTCCGACCGTGATTATTTTCCGACATCACCATCCGCTGGTGTGCGATCGCTCTTCTTGACGACTCCGCCTCTCGATTTCGAACCGATCAATTTTATCCGTCATCATGGCAGTCATCAATCAAGTCCTCGTCGAGGTCTCGCGCTTTGTAGTGCGGCAGGCAGTTTCGTCGGACACTCCGACTTCTACCCTCCCGTCATCTGCAGCCTCCTCTGCCGCACCCTCGACGACTTCACTCGATCCCTCTTCCATCACCCCGACTACATCAAGTGACCCTCAGTCAACAACCCCCGCTGGCGGCAATGGAGGAAACGGAGGGGGAGGTGGTGGTGGCTCCACGAGCTCGCCTCTACTCTTCTTCGTGGCTCTCGGTTTCGGCGTCGTATTCACTAACCTCTGGTGAGCCCTCTGCCACTTTGGCTTCCTACCGGGGTCATCAGTATCTAACATCTGCTTCAGGATCATCGTTGGTGTCAAGTACTGCTTCCGCTACAACGCTCGCAACCGCGCTATGCGTCTGAACGAGGACGGAGAGCCCATCAACCTGGAGAACATGCCTCGCCCGCACCGTCGCCGCCGTGAGAAGAAGTTAATGACGATGGATGAGGTGAACGACAAGTTCCCCATGATGAAGTACAAGGCATGGGTTTCCGAACGTGCCAGAGAGGGTCTCCCTACGGCCGGCGGCGTCTCCGCCCCGCCGAGTCGCGCAAATAGTTTGCGTTCCGTCGATGGCATTGTTCCCGAGTTGCCTTCAAAGGAGAGGGATTCGACTGAAGAACGCCCTGCTACCAGTACCGGTAACAAGGCAACCATGTCCGAGAAGCAATCTGAGGATGCGACCAAAAAAGAAGGCGATAACTCGACCGCGACTGCTGACGCTACTGGTGCCCCTGTGCAGTCTCCGACTTCTGCTACTCTCCTCCAGCGTGTCCATAGTGAGGATGACGAGGAGGATGATGAGCACATCAACGCTGCTCTGCCTCCTGAACTGATGGCCACGAGCGGTGATACTTGTGCCATTTGCATCGACACCTTGGAGGACGATGACGACATCCGTGGTCTTACTTGCGGTCATGCGTTCCACGCTGTCTGCGTCGACCCCTGGCTCACAAGCCGCCGTGCCTGCTGCCCTCTTTGCAAGGCCGATTACTACACCCCGAAGCCTCGTCCTGCTCCCGAGGGTGACGTCAACGCTAACGGCGACATGGCTCGCACCGCATCTCGCACGAACATGCCCAATGCTCCTCCTGCTGCCTGGTATAACCTCAGCGGCTCGCGCCTAGGATTTGGTGGTCGCAACAGAGGCAATCGACAGAACAATGACCGCGCCAACCGCCGTCGACGTGCTCGCCAGCAGACTGCGACGAATCCCAGTCCTAACCCCCCTCAGTCACCTCCTGTGGCAGAGAACCAAGAATCCCGCGGTCTGCTCTCCAGCTTCCGCATGCCCGTATTCCGCAATCCTCTCAGACGAGGGGATCAGCAGCAGGGCAGCTCTCCCACCGCGTCTGGTGCGAACGTTACCCCGTCTCAGCTCGAAGCTGGTACTCAAAATGCCACCGCCACGACTACGGAGGCGCGGTGATTACTCATGAGCGACAAAAGTCGCCCGAAAAAAGCGACTTTGATCTTTTTCCGTTGTGCTACTCTTGTACATCATACCCCCGAGACCAATTTGCAGATCTCAACATAGACTGCGATGTGACCGCATCTATACACGCTCACGACACCGCTTTTCATACCCACCTTTACATATAACGTGTGTTCCGAGGAATAGCCCCAAGGAGTAAAAGGGGAAAGAAGGTTTGGCTGCCGCAACATGTGGCAGAAGGGAGTTGCATTACAGTCAGGGCGGACTGATTTGGCTTGGTTTGTATCCTCTGAATTCTGAGGAGAGCGGCGGAGTTGCGGCGACATAGGCATCACTCGACATGGAATAATGACAATTGACAATGTTCACAAAAAAATCCTTTTGTTGGCTTTGTGCTTCTGATGTGAAAATCTGTGGTTGGTTTAACTTGATTATCCCCACCTGCTGCCGCCTATGCGGCCCTTTACGTTCGTCAAAGATATGACCCCTTTTGGAATCGGCCACCAAAATCTTTGGCACGGTTGAGCAACTCCCTGCGCTGAGCTGTACCGATCTTGCCGCCCAATGCCATATCCTTTTCTCTATCAAATGCCCTCTTGCTAGGGTCATCCTCCTCTTCGCCGTCCTTTCCAACCTTTGCGCCACTCTTCTTGTCTGTCTGATGCTCATCATACATACTCTTCCCCCGGGTTGCTGCGATGTTCTCGCTGATGCGCCTATCCCGTTCCTCTTCTTCTCTAGTACGACGCGGTTTCTGCTGCTCTGCTCCGCCGACTTCCCCTCCACGACCTAGCACAGCATCTTCGAGTCGCTTACGCTTCTGTTCTGGTGTCTCTGTCCAGATGCTGCTGATACCCCCACCGCTGCCGCCCGCAGCCGATGACGATTTGCCGCTGGCGAATTTGCGATTCTTGAGCTTGGTCGGGTCGCGCTCTTGGTAACCAGATTGTGTCGGTGGTGCGAGCATCCAGTCATCGCGCTGAGGTGCGGCAGGGCCCGAGGCTGCCGCCGCGGCTGCTGCTACTGCGGCAGCTTGTGCTCGTTGAGCGGAGGTTGTTGACGAGGGAAGAGCAGGACCGTAGTCATCCTCCGAATCTGACGAAGAGTCGTCGTTCCCGCCCTGGTGAGCCGCTGGGGGGAGCGTGGGTCCTATAGGCTGTTTCGGAGGCAGAGTAGGACCTATTGAAGGCTTGGACTTGGAAGCATTCGGTGATGCCGCGCGAGGAGCGGATGGGCCGTAGCCGTCTTCTGAATCAGAGCCGTCGAGAGTTATCTCATTTGTATTTGTTGTGCTGGAAGGAGGCATTGTTGGACCAACGGCAGGATTAACGGTCGGCGCAGGTTCCTTGACTGATGCGCCAGGCACACTAGGTCCAAAACCATCGTCATCGGAACTGTCGTCGAGATCGATCTCGTCGGTGTTTCGAGTCTGCTTTGTTGGCGGTGAGTCGGCGCTGACGTCGTCTGGGTTGCGCTTCCTCTTGGTGAGATGAGGTGGCAGCTGGGGCCCAATGGAAGACATAGTGAATGCTGCGATGTTAGCCGGGTGGTGGAGCGGTGGTGTTCAGTTTGAATTCGGGATATGTTGATCTGACAACTCGCGACGCGTGTGGAGATTGGTCGCATTAAAGAGTGTGACCAGCGCTGTAAGGTGATGTAAGTGCTAAAGGAAAGCTCCACCGGGCTTGCGCCGTGACGATCAGAGGTCACTGCGACGTTGCTAGGCGCTGTCGGGCCCGCCGGAGAAACCGCGGTCCGTCGTAGAGCTCTGGGTGGCTGGAACCTGGAACCCGGAACTTGATGTGTGGGCTGTGCGCGTCCAACTGCGTAATGCGCTCCTACCAAGTGCAACTGATCATCCATTGACAAGTCAGCTTCTCCTCGTCTGATAGGAGCTTGAAAAGCAGAATCACGTTTCGAAAGGGTCCTCGCCTCATTTGGCCAGCTTCTATCATCCTCCAGCTGCTGTTTCCGATCGAGTCAGGCCCTCTCGCTCTCCCTCCCTGCTGAGAGCACTGGCCTAGCTTCTGAACCCAAACCGAACTCTGGCCCGACCGAAGACATGTGCTTGATGAACCGCCATTGATGACCCCACCACCGACGGAGAGAGATGATGGACCTGGAGACACAATGGCAGATCCAGACGACCGGTCCTCCGCGGACGTACAAGCTCCCAGCGATGGAGGGATGGTAAAGGCCGAGGGGGAGGAGGACGGCATCGTCGGCCTTCTGGACGATGAAGAAAGAGAGGCCTCCGATGCCTCTCCAGCAATTGAGAACGGCATTATATCAAATCGGTATCGGCAAATATTACGAGACCAAGCTGACGATGCGTCTGAGGAGGGATCCGTGGATGCGGCGCCGAAGCGCGTGGGAAGTCCCATCGATTCCCTGATGTCTCTGCCCGACGATTCCCCGTCTGTTCAGGCAAGTAGCCCTATCAGCTTCAGGCTGCACTAGCTAACCACAAACCTCAGGGCTCCGTGATCTCCTCTCCAAGCAGCAGTGTCCTCCCATCCGTTGCTTCTCGACCAGGCCTCAGCAGTCCAACCCCGTCATTCCGTCCTTTCGATCGTCGATTCCAATCCCGTATCTCCTCCGCCAGCTTCATCAGTAGCTCGCGATCCTCCTCACCTGCTTTTCTCGCCGGCCATAGCCGTTCCGCTTCCCTGAGCTCAGGACTGCTCGACCGCGAAGATACCGATACCCCCTCGCCGCCGTGGGAAGTTGTTCGATGGACGAGATTGAAGAAACTTAACGGCCAGGCCTTCTCCGAGGCCGGCAAGCGCAACTTCGGCGCTCCGACCTGCATCGCCGTCTCCGCCTCGATTGTGTTGGGGACGAACAAGGGAATAATACTAATGTTTGATTACAACCAGGTCTTGAAGACCATCATAGGGCCCGGGACCAAGGCCGTCGAGTCGGGCGCCATCACGGCAATCGCTGTGTCGGCAGATCACACCACCATTGCTGGGGGCCATGCGAATGGAAGCATCTTTACGTGGGAGACGAACCGAGCGTCCAGGCCGTTCCTGTCCATTCCGCACCTAGACCAGTCGCAACTAGAGAACCGGACCATGGATGGCCATCTCCCTGGTGTCGCGGTCACCCATCTTGGATTTCTGGGGACCAGGCACACTGCGCTTGTGTCAGCGGATGATCGTGGCATGGCCTTCTCCCATCTGGCAACTAGAGGCACTGGCTCTCTCGGCCGAACTGTAAAGACAACGAGGATACTCGGACGGTACCCGAACGCGGCGCCTCCTGCCGGAAAGCCTCTCAAGCCCAGTACTGTACTGGCATTTAGTCCATGTCCTTTGGGTAATACCGAACGCGCCACGGATACCCTCGGCCTGACGGCAATGCTTACACCATATCTGTTGGTTATCGTTTCTACCACACCCGTCGCCCAGACACAACACAAATCGGCCAGACCAAAAGATGTCGCCCATCACAGTGCGATGACCGGCTGCCTTGCGTGGTTTCCTGCGGTGAGGCTTAAGGTTCCAGATCCCGTTACAGGCAGCGACATCTCCAAAGTCAAATTGGTGTACTGCTGGTCAAACGTCCTGACCGTTCTGGACGTAGACGAGATACCAGCAGAGAACAAGGACAAGCCGCCCACGCTCAAGTTCAAGGCCCGGAGTCGGTGGAAGTGTGAAGAAGCCATTGTTGCGGTCCAGTGGCTAAGCCGTTCTGTTCTCACAGTTTTGACCATTACTCAGCGCCTAATCGTCGTTGAGGATCGCAGTATGCGAATGACCGAGGGTTTTGATCTCATCAATAAGTTCATTTACCACTCCGACCTGTTCTCTAAACAGTTACATACATTGGTCGAGCAGCTCGACGAGGACGACACATCGATGCATGGTGTTGTGGCCGACGCTTTCTACATGAGCTTCAAAACCTACAAGGGCAAAATTTTCCTGCTCGGTTTCAACGATGTTTCAATTGGATCGCTTTCGAACTGGGCTGATCGCATTATTGCTCTGATGGAAAATGGTGATTACGTTGGTGCTATTCAGCTTGGAACATCATACTACACAGGTGACGCCGATAAACTCACAATTGGCCTACCCGAAGATACCGAGTTGCGCCACTCGATGGTGCGAGACAAGCTCATGGAGATCATGCGAGCTTCTCTCAAATATGCCTTCACCCAGCGGCAAAAAGACCGAGCTGCAGCGGACGACGCCCACCTTCGAGAGTTGGCTGAGACTTGTTTCACGGCCTGCCACAGCGTCGGCGACGTCGACTTCCTCTTCGATGAAATGTGCGAATGGTATGAAGACGCCGGCGTGGAAGGCATTTTTCTCGAGACCATGGAGCCTTACATTCTGGGAAAGAACATCGCGGTTGTGCCGCCAACCATTGTCAAGGCCACAGTTAACCACTACGTCACCAAGGGTTGGGAGAGTCGCCTTGAGGAGATGATTGTCCACATGGACACAATGACCCTAGATTTGGACCAGATTACTCTTCTGTGCAAGCAGCACAGTCTTTACGACGCCTTGATTTATGTCTGGAACCAGGCCTTGAACGATTACATTACACCATTGATCGACCTACTAACCTTGCTTGTGCCACTTATGAGCAACGGCGACTACATGTCTTCAGGGAACATGGATGACGAGATTTACGGCGTTAACGCCTTGAAGATGTTCCCCTACCTCTCATACACGTTGACGGGCAGAGTATACCCCACCGGGGAGGCCATGGACACCGCCGTTGCCTCCAAAGCCAAGGCTGAGATTTACTGGTTTCTATTCTCAGGAAATAGCGTCACGTGGCCCAAGGGCAGCACTCGGCGGTTTCTCACACGGCCAGATCAGCACACTGAGCCGTCGTTCCCATACCTCAGGTTGATCCTGAAGTTCGATGCCCCAAGCTTCCTTAGTGCTATAAACGAAGCCTTTGAAGATTCATTCTTGAACGACTCTCCTGAGAAGCAAGTTAACGGCGGCATTAGGGGCGACGTCCCTGAAGAGCAGATATTCGGGCTCACGGTCGATCGTCAGTACATTGTCTCTATCTTGTTGGAGATTATGAACCCAGCAGACTTCGCATCGGAGGACACCATTTACCTCGATATGTTCATCGCTCGCAACCTTCCCAAATTTCCTCAATACTTGCTCTTCCCGGGCTCGACGCTTACGAAGGTCTTGACCGGGCTTTGCAATTACCCTGGAGCTGACCTAGCCGAAGACGCCCAACTAAGTGCCGAATACCTGCTCTCGATCTACCAGCCTCCCGATGTTACCACGCTGATTCCCATGTTCAAGAAAGCGGGCTTCTATCGGATATTGAAGAGGCAATACAAGGTTGACAAACAGTATGACAAGCTTGTCCAGACGTACTTCGAAGACCCCGCTGACCGGGATGCCGTCTTTGAATGCCTCGGGGACTGTCTTCGGCCACACAGTGGTCTGAATCGCCGACAGGTGCAAGAAGTCCTCGAAGCAGTCAAGAACAACGCCAGGGAACTCCTCGGAATTAACCCCGTCGAAGCGGCGAGAGTCTTGGCAGCTCAGTCTGTGGACGTTCACCAACACATCCTGGATTCTGCCGAAGACGCACCCGAGCTGCAGTTCTTTTACCTGCGGACGTTGCTCGAGCCCGAAAAGCGAGACGTCGAGACCCCATTGAATCCAGACCGAGTCCTCATCGAGCGCTACGTCCAGCTCATGTGCAAGTATGATTCCGCACATGTGTCGGATTACATCGGCCTGGTTCAATCCGTCAACCTCAGGTTGGATGTCTTGCTGCCTGCCATGGAGGAGACCGGCGTGATTGACGCTGCGGTCGTACTCATGGCTCGAGAAGGCCAAGTCAAGGATGCCATGGACAGGCTTGTGAAGCATCTCGGTACCCTTGAATCGGCCTTGCAAGGTATCTTGTCTGGCGCTCAACAGGAGAGTTCAAATGACTTGCAATCAGGAGCCGAGGAGACTTTGCGAGCGTTGCAAAAATATGTTCACGTGGGCATTTGGCTTTGCCAGGGCCAGACCAAGTCATCGAAGAAGGCGAACGGCGTCCAACAACGAAAGTCAAAAAACACGTCAGAAGTTCTCTCTCCAGATGAGGAGCTTTGGCTCAGTCTCATCGATGCGGCAGTGCAGACCACGCGATCAATCTCGTCCACCATCGAGTCGTCGAAAACCACCCAGAACGGCGTTTCGGAGAAGGCAAGCGCTATGGACAGCTTAGACAAAGAGAAGCTCTTGACACTGCTTCGATCTTTGGTGCAGCATACTTTCACGGCTCTCCTGACGACGACTTCAAGTCCCGCAGGAGCCCAGGCTGGTGGCCGACTCCTTTCCAACGCAGGGAACAACCTGTCATTTCTTCGAATTCTGCGTGCCTTTCTGACACGAGCCGCTGCATCGTCCCCCAATCTCGCAGATCTGCGCTCGGTGCTGGCATCCATCTTTTCCGCGTACGCCTATGAAGAGTCCATCTTGCGACTTTCAAACCGTCTGTTGGAACGAAGCTTGTTCGTGAACGTCAAGCAAGCCGTCGACCTCCGACAACGCGGTTGGCGACCCAGGGGTTCCACGTGTGAGGCGTGCGGCCGTCGTATATGGGGCCCAGGTGTCTCTGGTAATGTTTTTGAGGCCTGGGAAGAAAAGCAGGCCCGCGACGAGCAACACAAGGCCGAAAGAAAGACCGCCGCTGACGAGCGCGGTAAGGGCAAAGCAGCCCCTGCCGCCGGTGAGGCATCTCAGGCTGCATACAGTTCGAAGGGAAAGGGGAAAGCCGCAGCGGGTGTTTCTGCACCAGCGGGCGTTGAAGCTGCCGCGGCAGAGGAGGGTGTGGATGCGCAGAAAGATGCGATCGGAAGGCCCAAAGAGCAGCCCCTCGGGCCGCTCGTTGTGCTGGCTTGCAGGCACATCTACCACCAAACCTGCCTGGATGCGTATCAGGCCCGGCCGGAGGTTGAGGGAGAGACCCGCAGAATTGATAGCCACGCGAGGGAGTACAGATGTCCGATTGATGGATAGATGAGTTGTATCTTCTGTGTACAATGTACAAATTTCATGAATTCACGAATGACACTTAATCGTGTCTACGATTTCTTTAAAGTTGGTTGGCATCCTTGGGAAATTGGCCGGCATCTCACCGTTCAAGTCGTGCTACTCCGATGTTGTCTTCTGACTGCCCTTGTTCTGTGTAACGGGCTGCAAGTGCCGCCTGCACCTGAAAGCTACGCGTTGCCCTACCCCACGGTTTTTGCCCGAATACATTTCCGGACGGCTGCCACGTAGGATATCAGATGGTCACGAGCGCAAGTAGAAGGTGTAGTGGACGAACGAATGCATCAATCTTGGTTCCACGGTATTTAGAACAACACAGAAGATGCGACAGGCGAACAAGACGTCGATATAGAGATGGTCTATGTGTCATATTGCAGACGCCAAGTCTTGACTAAGTACTCGGGCGTTGCAGTCTGTCGTATCGTTGACTGATGACATGTCTTGGCTTTGTCGGTCAATGTGTCAATCAGAAACAATTTCTCTGGGTAGTCGGGCTTAGACGGATGCTCAGCCCTGTCAGCTCTTTAGTGTGAGACTGAAGACGTGACACAGGGAAGAATAGGAGATACGGGACCCGAAGACTTCGAACGATGTTCCGGAGGGCGCCCGGGGATCGGCGGGCGGGGTCGGAGTGGACTCCGGGAAGATCGGGCCTGGGGCTACGGCCGTCTGTTGATCCCGGCACTGCATGGGACCCATTGCAAAGATAAGAGCGGTCCTAGACGGTGTTTCTTGAGATTGTGTTGTAGTGGTTCCCCTGGAACTTCAATTGATTCGCCGTTCTCATCGCCATTCGCCATGATGTCGCTGTAATGATGGCTTCGGACTATCGGGCTGATGAGTGGTACTAATCTCCATATGATGGAAAAATCCGCATGACTCGAAGGGTGAGGTGGTCCCTGAGAATGCCGAGTCTGTTCAGTGGGTCGGTCTATTGACTTGGGAGGCAACGGTTATATGAACTCTTCCGAAAGAAGACGACAAGAGCCGAATTTCAAACTCAGTCACCGGAAAAGAGTGCTTAGTGGACCTCAAACTTCAAAAAGGCCCGCTCGTCGCATAGCGTAGTTTGGAATGCCATGTCGAGACAGGCGCAACTAGCGAGTGTCCCAGCTAGAAATGCTGGAGTCCTCTTGCAGTTTCACTATAAAGTGATATAGTATATTAAAGTATACTTTTTAGAAACTCTACTAGTATATAGGCTATTTTTATAGCTACCCCTTTTCCTTCTTTACTTCTCCCTTCCTATTTTTAATAGTTAAGAAGGACTATAGCTATTACTATACTTATTTCGTTTATATAATCTTTACATTATAAAATTTCCTCTAGCTTATTAATATCCTCTTTAAGTTCTTTATTATTAAGTTTTTATTAAGTTCTTATTTATTAATATATCTACTAAAATTATAAATAAGTATAATTTATATTTAGTTTATTATTTTATAGATATAAGAGATATATAATAACTTATAGGATATAAATAAAATATTTATAGTAATTTTTATAATTATCTTTAGCTATAATATTAAAGAAAATATTATTAATAAACTATTTAAACTTATATATATATATTTAACTATATATATACTATTTAGATAGGGTAATACTTTACTTCTATTTAGTTATTAGTTATTCTTATAATTAGTATTTTAGTTAATAACTATAGGTTTAGATATAATAAGTTAATTTTATTAAAAATAGTTAATAAATAGAAGAAGAATAAACTTATATTCTTCTTTTTATATAATCTTATATAATAAATTAATTATAAACTATTAAAGTTATTAATAATACTTTTATAAACTTAGATTAAAGTTTTCCTAGTTATTATAAATAGTATTATAATATATAGTAAATATCTATTAAAGTATAAGTAGAATTTTTATAGTATAGCGTAAGCTTCTATAAATTGGAAATAGCTAGGCTTGAAAGGTGGAAGGTAAATGCTGGAGTCCTCAAATGAGATGTGAATAACATGCATCGTGGCCCATCTCCTCGGTAGCTCGACGCGTGGTAGCGGAGCTGTATTCAGTGGGCTGAGTGGGGACGGAACGCAGGCACTCGGTACTGAACGGAGGATTAGCCCCGACCTAGTTGAGTGCCGCCAGGCGGAAGGGTTCAGGGACAATGATCGGCATGTGCTGGAGGCCGCTTGCCAACGAAGCATCTGAGGAGCAAAATCAAGCCTTGGATCTTCGGGCGGGTGTAACCCTCAGGCCAAGGACTCGTCGGCAGTCAGACCGAGACCTCGGTGGAAACATCCACGAAGTGTAAGAAGATTGCGGGACAACGATGAACTGCCTAGTTCCAATAAACAATATGCTTGAATACTACCTTAAACGAGTCAAGGATGGGGGATGACGAGTACAATGCACAATAAACGTTGGTGGTGCGTTGGGAGAGCGGAGAGCTTCTTCGAATTCCACCAACCCGCTGGCACTTCACGGACGCTATTGTTCCACGATTCTTCTTTCGAATGACAAAAAGGATCCTAGAGGATTCAAAGGGGGTGATTGTGAAATGGGCAGAAAAAGCACTCTGGAATCTCGGAGCCGGGGTGATGGGTGTAGACCGGATATGACAAGTGGGGTGAAGGACCGCGGACTTGAGGCCCGGTAGGGCTACTGCCTCCGAGAACCCATGGCCGGCAGGGCAGCTTAAGCACGCACCACATCCTCTTCCAGTGTAACACCCAATCTATTCCACCAAAGACGTCTCATCAAGTGATCAAGCCTAAGGGGGGTTCCCAAGCACGCTATCGGCCGGTACGGCAAAAGATATGGTCTTGGGAGCGGGCGGAGCGGATGGGCGGACAGGCGGGCACTTGCTGAAGAGTTGGTGAACAGGGCCTCCTAGGGATATGAGAAGCTAATATAATGGGACACCGCTGCGCTCCCGCTCTCTCTCGAAGGGGAGGGATCTCCTTCGTTGCTGTTGCTCTCGTAGCCCTCTGTCGTTCCCTTACACCAGTAGGACCACACTGCAGCTGTGGTTCTTTCTTCACTCATTACCTGGAATTCTGTCAACAACAACAGCAACAACCATGTTGTTTCTCTCCCTGTTCTTCTCCTTGTTCTTCCTGCCCTCCGCCGTCTTCGCGGCCTGGGGCTGGACTGACAACGGCAGCGAATATGTGATCGACTCCGGCTCCGACCTGGTTATCAAGGTCACCAAGTGCTGCGGTGACATCTCCTCGCTCAACTACAAGGGCGTCGAGTACAACGGCTGGGGCGGCAAGAACTCTCACGTCGAGTCTGGGTTGGGTACCAGCACGGTCAGCATTACCACTTACTCCAACGTGATTAAGGTCTCCGTCGTCCACGGTACTCTGAAGCATTGGATCTTTGTCCGCTACGGCAACAACAATGTCTACCTCTTCACCAACAAGGCGGACGACTCTGTGTCCGCCATGCGTTACATTGTTAGAATCAAGGTCTGTGACGGGTCGAGAATGTTCGTCGGGAGTCTGAATTTAACGGAAATGACAGGGCGGAATCTTCAGCCATGCCTCGACCGAGAGCGACTTCTACGATGCCGATAGCACCATCATCGAAGCCCAAGACAGTTCGTAGTTTCTAAACATGGAGATGGTCAGGTTGTGCTAACTTTTCAAAGTCAATGTGAACAGCGCGGGTCTGACCAAGAGCAAGCACTACCAAGGCTCCAACTATGGCCGAACCATCGACTGTAAGATTTGTTTCGAGACTTTCTTGGCACATACTGACTGTTTGAAGACGATTACGTCGGCCGCACGAAGAGCGATGTCGGTTTGTTCATGATCAGAGTAAGTGTTGCGGTGCAGATTTGCCTTCATGTGTCACCGCTAACATCTGAAACCTAGAGCAACCACGAGAAGGCCTCCGGCGGTCCCTTCTTCCGATCCCTCGTTCGCCGCGCCGATCCCACTGGAGAGGACCTGTACGACATCTATTACTATAACATGGGTCACACCGACCCCATGCGCACTGGTCTCCAGGGACCCTCCGTTATCTCTTTCACCAACGGCGAGGCCCCCAATAGCAATCTCTTCGCCCGCAAGGCCGACTGGTCCTGGTTCGATGACCTCGGTGTGAGTACGAAATCAGGCCTGATCCATGATCAATAGCTGATGTTTGTTTAGCTGGACGGTTGGGTCCCGGCTTCCGGCCGTGGTTATGCCAGTGGTGTTGGCCTGGCCAACATGAAGAGCGGCAAGACGTACGTCGTTGGCCTTAGCAACTCCAACGCTCAATACTGGGGCACAGCCGATTCTGGTGGCGCCTGGTCTATCACAAAGGTCATTCCTGGCACCTACACCTTGACCGTTTACAAGGACGAGCTCGAGGTCGCCACTTCATCTGTGACCATTACTGCTGGCAAGGGCACCGCTGTGAACACAATCACTTGTGTTGACCCTGAAGATGATGCTACTATCTGGCGTATCGGCGAGTGGGACGGTAAGTTTTGGCACTAGAAAGTGTGGGTTCCTGTCTGACTATCTACAACAGGAACCCCCAAGGGCTTCCTCAACTTTGAGGATACCCCGGTAAAGCTTACATACATGCATCCCTCCGACACCCGCATTTCAACTTGGAACGCTGGAAACTTCATTGGTGAGTCTTCTAGGTCCAGCAATCACTCTTGAGTATGGAATCTAATTCCGCAAAGTGGGCACACACTCGGCCAACCGCTTTCCGGGTTACATGTGGAAGGAGGTCAACAGCGGCTACATCATCTACTTCAAGCTCACTACCGCACAACTCGCAGCTGGTCACACTGTTCGCATTGGTATCACGGAAGGCTACATTGGCGGTCGGCCCTCCATCAATGTCAACTCTTGGGCCTCTGCCCTCCCTGCCGCCACCAACCAGGCCAGCACCCGATCTCTCACGTAAGTTCTCAAGGTTACACATGCTTCATTCAGAAAGTTAGAAGCTAACAAAGATGCAAGTGTCGGAACATGGCGCGGCAACAATGTGAAGTTGACTTATGCTGTGCCTCAAACCGCTTGGATCCAGAGCACAAGCGAGTGGCAGGTTCTCACTATCAACGTGTATGTCCACCCGTACTCCGACTAAGTTTTTTGTGGATCAGACTAACACTTCACGACAGTATTTCCGGCAGCTCTGGCACAAAGTTTCTCAGCCCTGGCGTCTCTTTTGACGTGGTTGAGTTGCTTGCCTAAACCAGGCAATGTCCACAGATACTCAGGAACTAAACGAGCACCCACGTTTCGCGTTTGTTTTCACCGTCAAACTACTCCTATATATTCTTGTCACATACATTTCTTCAAAGCTGTACATACTTCAGTGAATATGTCATTCGGGGCCTTGAGCCTGCGTATATACCAATCACATGCTCCTTGGAGACGCAAGTTTCTACATGTCTATGTGCTCTGTCGGGTCGAAAACTTCCAATTCATATTGCAATAAGTTTAAATCCTATAGAAATTCAACGAGCAATGTCTATCTCTCACTTTAAAATCAGATGTTTTTCCCAAATAATTCTATTTCATGTGAAACTCCACAAGGTAATCCGCCGTTGCGCCATGAGTGTCCTAGGCGTTTGTTCCCGCATCCTCTGAATGATGTTGTACCATGTGCTACATGGGAAAAATCAAGATTAAGTCTTCGTTTCTGCCCCCGGTCCGTCGCTTCGTCGCAGTGGTGGATAGTAACTTGACTCATCATGGATCAGACGTTAGAAAAGCGCTGCCAGATCTCGCACATTGTTTTGGTCTTTGTAGGGTAGACTGGAAGCGGTATGGTCGCCCAGCACCAATAAAGCCGAAGCCGATGTACCTAGGTTCGACGATGGTAACACTGATGTCATTCGAGATGGGTGATTCGTTGAGTCAAAGATGTGTTGTCGTCGCCAGTCTTTTTTCTTTTTTTTTTTCTTTTTAAAAAAAAAAGAAATCTTGTAGTAGCTATTTGATATGAGTTAGCCAAGGCTCCGAACAATAGATCTGTGGTCTTTCCGGAAGACGAACTGGTCAAACTTCTATAGTATGAGCTTTTCTTCTAGATTCCCATTCCATTCATACATCGCATGTGTATGCCCACTGTTCAAAGTCGGCGTCTCCGTTTCTCATATCCTTTTCTGTCTGTGTTCATATAGACGTCAGCTCCGTTTCGACTCATGCTATCGTTTTCCTTACTCTTTTTAGGATCTGGCCACAACTCCCGTAAAACCTCGCATTAAGATCAAATTCATCAAGTGAGATCGAGCCACCGAACCCCAGACGACCATGAATGCTCTCCAACAACCACTTCCGAATATAGTGGTCCGACACACTAGCCATTCGAGCCACCCGGGGGTTTCAGACGTTCCGTGCCGCGCATTGTGCGGGGTTGGTCGAGGTTGAGGTTGTTGATTGAATTGGGGTCGGCTATGAACCACATAGTCGGGTCGTGACCAAGTGCTTGGAGGGAGGTGAAAGGGAGTCGAGTCTTGTGAAGCGCAGCCAGAACAGTCCTGATCAGACCATGCGCTAACCCCTTTAAACCTTTCGCAGCCTTTGGGTGGGTTAAAAGGTGGAAGATCGCGTCCTATGTGTCTGTGCTGACGCGGTTGGTTGGGGTTTGTTTGAAGAGCCCCAGAACAGACGTCGATGAGTCGATCGCAGGGATATTGGCAACGACGGCAAAACCAAGTATTGATTACACACATTGTGGCCGGTTTTGGCTGAGAGGCAGACGCGATGATGATGGGGTTTGGTGTTCGAACGAATAATCGTAGAAACGATCATTGCAGACAACGAGGATGAAGAGAAAAGTTAGACGACCGGTATTTATGTAACTCGTACTGACATCAATGGGCAACCTCTCAAGACCGCGGAGGCACCTTTCATGGTTGAGCTGCGGTACTTCCTGTCTTGAACATCAAGGTAAATTATAATGATGGTCAAAACGTAGATGTCCACGACGATGATCGAGTCGGTGCCTTGGGGGTTCTTAACACGATATGGACACCTAAAGGTACCGCAAAGCGTCCAATCAACTACAACTACATCACCTGTCTCGCCTACAATTGAATGAATCTTTTGCCTAGTTACCCTTTACTGTCCAAATGAGTTGAGCCCCTCTTGTTCATATCAACTAGACTTCATACACTGTACACTGCTGAGTTAAAGTTTTGCCCTCTCAGCCTGCCAGAAACCTAGGACCTCCATTACGTCCGACCTTTCATTTGGATCTTTCGCCATGCACCGATCTGTCATGCCCATCCACGCCCTGGGTATGTCCTCGGCGCCTTCCCAACTGGTTTTGAGCTGGCTCGGATGCTCAATCTCATCGAAATCCATGTCCGGCTGACGCAAAAGCATCCACATCGCTCGGCCCAGGCTGAACACCTCAGCAAGCTCAAGAGCCAGTGGATGTTCTGCACTCCAGCCAGGAAACACGTTCCAGGTGTTCCATGGATAGTCACCGAGTACGTCTTCCTCAGTATTGCGGCGCGGTGGGCCCTCATACTTGGTGTATTGAAGACGTGGGCGATTCCACCCATTGCCAGCAGGGCCGCCGCCCTCTTCTTCCATCTCAACGTCCCAAGTTCCATCGGCTTCTGGTGCGATGGTCGTTGTTGGCGCATCCGTCTGCTCCCAGTCTCCTAGGACCAGGTTGCCGTCTTGGTCGATCAAGAAGTTGCCAGGTTTGATGTCCATGTGATATGTCTTGGCCTGTCGATGAGTGTGGGCGACCGCCGCGGCCATGTCGGTGCACCACCGGACCTTGGTAGCAAGCGGAATACGGGATCTCAGGGCGTTACTGTTCTCTATGCGAGATCCCAAATCGCCCCCCACGTAGAACGGCTGCAGTGTGCCGCAGACCACCCCACCCTGACTGCCATAGGTCACTAGCTTCGACGGAGCTGGAAGCACATTGGGATGCTTGGGCATATTGCGAAGTAGATTGTTGGATCTGTGCCAGCCATGTATCATGTGGCGAATGGTTTTGTCGCCTTCATCATCAGCGTACGTTAAGAAGGTACGAAAGTCGATGCCTTTGAAGACCATGAAGTCCTTCGAGCTTTTGTCCATGCGACGAATTCGAGTCGCACAGCCTCGCCCGCCCAGCTGATCGTAGCGGACTATTGAGGCAAACTCAACTTGCTCGTCGTTCGGGAGTAGAGTGGTCTTGCCAACTTTCACGGTGTAAATTACGGTCGACGAAATGCCAGAAAGCGAGGGATGTGAGAAGGACGAAAATGGGAATAGGGAGAAAGATTGGAGATACATACTTTCGCTGTCACGGAGATAGCTAATGTAGCGTTGAAAGAGTGGGTGAGAATAAGTATTCCAGCGCACATCACTGGAAGAGCTTGCATCATCGTGATGATCGACGGCGAAGACAACGTCTGGTTGCGAAACCCGTTTGTCTGTCGAGCAGGCTGACCACACATCGCGAACCGCGTTCCACAAGGCCTCACGCATGGCCGCGCTGTCCTTGAATGATTTTGATGCGTCATCGACCTCAATTCCATGCATACAAGCGCAGATGCGATTCGCGAGAGAGGTTGGAGGCTTGGATGCGTCGAGAGAGAAACTGAAGATGATGGTGCGATCGTTGCCGTAGCCTTGGGCGAAGACGGTCGTTTCGGCGTCATCGCCCCAAATCCATTCAGGGTGAAAGTCGTTCATGGTAATAGTAGGATCGAGGTGATTGTATTTCAATCGCCATAGCCCTCTATGAGGAGAATGAGTTGGTAGACACAGGGGAAAGGGTCGAGTGGGTGAGGTACGTGATATGGCAGTTGGTGATGTTGTTAGTTCAGTGACCAATCTCAGTTCAAGAATTTTCGCGGGCATGAGCGAATACAAAGCAGGTGCCCGTGCCTGGCTGCTTTGGATTGTATCTGCCTTCGACCATCAAGACGTCGCACAAGCATCTCAGCCTTTCACTAAGGCAAACACACAGAAAGAAGACAAAACACATCCACAATGAAGAGCAAACACCTCGGCCATTCACATACGTCAAAACACCAGAAGCTGGGAAAATAACGACTGGCATTTCCGTCTCACTCCATTCTTCTTGCCCATCTAGCTACTGTTGGTACGAACGCGAACTGACAAAGTCCTTTACTCGATTTAAAGAGGAAGGAGCGGAATTTCAGCTAGGCAATTCTTTACAAGACTCAATACACAACCTTAATAAATACATTCTATGCCTTGAGAGAGCACAAGAAAGATCCATATCATACGCTATCCCATCTTAGAGGAAACCTAGACACATTTCTTAGAAAGGGAAGCCACAAGAACGAGGCAACTTAATCACAATCTTCCATCTGCTTTCATCATATGAGCATGTAATCTTGCAGTTATTGTGGTCATCAAATATCACAGATCCTTCTGATAGGGTCCTGCGAGACAGCCAATATCCCGTTTAAGTGTGTTGCAATATAATCAGGCTGTTGTTTGGGAGGGCTGACGTCAGTCATGCATGACGATGAATGGCCACTCGCTGCGATGAGCCGCATCTAGGCACCCAGAATGTGCCTTGGCGGCTGGATCACCTCATGAACGGAAGTGAGAACCTGTCAAACCGTGGAAATGAATGTCTTCTTCACTCCTTGATTCACAGTCTAGGGGCGATGGCTGTTTCGCAGATATCAGACGAGGTCCAGTCCCGCGTGCAGGAGTGGATGCAAGCTACCTCATATTCTGCAGTCTCACTTACGTCGCTTACAGGAGGTCAAACCAACTTCACCTACCTCGCAAGGCTGAGGCAGGCATTTGACGATAAAGATGGAAACAAGGCGATGGAAGTCATGGTCAAACATGGAGAGCCATACATGGCTCGGCATCCCGTCAACTCCATCACGATCGAGCGTTGTGTAAGACGATCTTTGCTATCTAGTAACTCAGCTAATACTTGATAGAACGTGGAGGCGGCTTGTCTGAAAGAGCTGGAGGCGATGTCTCTTCGCCTGCGTAGCCAGGAGAGCTTCAGTATCACCGTCAAAAGCCCAAGATGCTACGTCTACGACGAGGAAACGAAGACGCAGATTCAAGAGTATCTGCCAAATGCGGTACACTTGAAGAAGCACCTTCTCAAGTTCCCTCCATCAGACACGCCCATAGATCTACGTCCGCAATACCAGAACATTGGTAGCGCCATGGCTAAATACATTTCCAAAGTCCATGAGCTCACGAACAGCATCTTGGAAAGCGACGAGCAGGATGGAACAGGCTCATCACTGAAGGAGGCCCTTTACAAAGACAACCAGATGCAGAAGTTGAAGCATATGATCAACTACGATTGGCTGCTCGAGAGAGTCGCCCAGTTCCCCTCGATCCTGGGCCACATGCGGGGCATATTTGAGGAAATAAAGGGGCAGGCCTTAGAGGAGATACGCGGGGTTAATAAGACCTTGACGGTTATACATGGGGACTTCTGTCCACAGAAGTGGGTTAAAGCCGATTCCTACTACCTCAAACTTTTAGAATAACACCAGAACAGTGTCCTGATTCGTGACACACCACTCGCGACCAACCTTGATACGTCTATATATGTGGTAGACTGGGAGAACGCCCAACTTGGAGTTCCAAGCATGGATCACGGGGAGATGCTGGGAGAGCTATACGCAATCTGGCTGTGTCAGGGGTCAGCAGCAAGCCTGTGGATTGCTGAGGGCTACTGCAGGGGACTAGATGACCTGTCGGAGAGCTCAGCTCTCCGAATCGCCCTCCAGCTGGGGGTCCATCTCATCAGTTTTGGCACCATTTCGCGAGAAATGGAGACTCGTGAACAAACCCGAGATGTTGCTCGGATCGGCAGTGAGTTTATTGTCAATGCTTGGGGTAAGAAGAAGGCGTGGTTCGAGCAGAGCGAACTATCCTTTTTGTTCCCGACGGTTTCTGGGGAGTGAAATTCGCGAGTACAAGAACTTTCAACTTAGTAGCAAGGATACGGTAGTCAGTCAGAAAACACCACGAGACCCTTACTATCTCAAACACGCCCCGGATGGTCACCTCTCTGCATCTTCTGTAGTCCTGATGCTGCCCTATTGTTGAGTAACTGCCCGAAAGTTAGATCGAGAACTAGTTCTATTCCTGTCATTGAGAAAGGCCCAAACAAAACTCGAGGCTCACGATAGCTTCAAATCAAGTAGGAAGGCGGTTCAGAGTCTAAAAAGGAAGACTTAGGAGCAAAAACATACAACACCGGGCATTCGCCAGTCGTCACCGACCTGACTACTCCAGCCCTCATTGGCTTATCTATGGGGGAGCGGACGGGATCCCGAGTTTTCCAATGGGTATGGTCGTATGTGAAGGCGTTGTGAAGTGAATTTGCCTATAACCTCAGAGCTGTAGTCGGGCTTGAGGAAGTGGTCGCATATTTGGCCGCTTGTTTCTCCCAGTCGTGAGCTATGACAGACCTGGTAATATTCTTTGTTTCGAAGTTGCTCCTTGACAAAAAAGCCTTGTGGCTTTCTAATGTTACCTTCCATGTGAACGCGAAGAGTTGATTCAGAAGTTGAGGAAGTCGACGTTGCGCGTTGCAGAGTTGGCGTCTCATGATTGGCAATTGTTTCACGCCATTGGCCAACCAAGCCTCCCCAAAATCCGGTGCAAATGCAGTGCAGCAACCGGGGGACCGAGGCACAGCGCATGCGACCTGAGGCGAACCCTGAACCGGCCCCCAGTGCAGAAAAAGGGGTATTGTCGATCACCCCCGCCAATTGGGACGCTCTAGAAGGCCAGAAATGCCCCGAATTTGCGGGCGGTGCAACTGGCAGGTTGCGCATTACGGGGGTCCCACGTAGCTTGTCTGAGCTTAGCTTAGCAGCCCTTCCAATGTCTCCAGCAGCTTGCTTCAAAAAAAAACCGTCCCGTCAATTGGACACATGGGACGGAAATGCGATCCACGGACACGAGACATCCCACGACGCCCCATTTCGACCACCATCTGACCGGGAGAAACCAACTCACTTCTTCCAACAACACCAGTCCTGGGGACTCTCCGTTATTTGATTGACAATGATCTAGAACCGTCACCTGCTGTCCTTTCCCCCCTCGCTCCCCACACGCTTCGAAGCTCCAAGCAGAGCAGCTGCCAGCAGCAGCAGCAGCAGAAAGCCCGCCCGCCATGGGTGGCCCGCTCACGTTCCTGAAGAGCATCTACGATCTCGACAACCTCGATACGCGCTTCACGAACTCCTCCTCCGTTCCATACAAGACCGTGATCGAGTCACGCAATGATCCGGCGCAGAGCAAAGAGTCAGCCAGCAAAGCCCAGAGCCGCGCGCAGCCGTCAAAATGGAGGCAACCCGAGTTTATCGTCTACCTCGCTTATATCGCAGGGGTGATACCGTATATGTTCTGGGTGGCCTGGGGAGTGTCGAGGCGTGAGTGGCTCATGGAGAGTCCTGAGCTCGTAGCTATGCTAACGATATGTCACTGCAGCTTCTGACCCCCGATACCACAACTACGAGCGCTTCCTATCTGACGGCTGGATCCCGGGGCGTAAAATCGTATGTCGCCCTCGAGACCCCTCTACGAAGTGAAGCCTCCTGTAACACGATCCCTTCTAGGATATTTCCGACTCGCAATATCATACCTTCCGCCAGAACCTTCCTTACATGGCCCTGCTCCTGACCTTCCACCCACTCCTCCGGAAGCTTTGGAACATCGTCTTCCCGATCCCGTCAGACCTACACAAGAAGTCGGTAACAGAACAAGGCGACGCCCGCCTCGAGCAGCGCGCTTCCTTTGATTACCGATTCGCCATCGTGTTCCTCATCGCACTGCACGGCTTCTCCGCGTTCAAGGTCCTAGCAATCCTTTACATCAACTACCAACTTGCCACGCGGCTTCCGCGAAGATACATCCCCGCTGCGACATGGATCTTCAACGTCTGCATGCTCTTCGCGAACGAGCTGAGCCAGGGATACAAGTTCGCCAACATTGCGCGGCACATCACACCACCCTCTGCGCACAAGGACCTACTAGAGGAAGACCCCTTCCTGGTGCGATGGGGTGTCTGGCTCGATTCCTACGGAGGGTTGATGGGCCGTTGGGAGATTCTCTTCAACATCACTGTTCTGCGGCTCATCAGTTTCAACTTGGATTACTATTTTAGCCTTGATCATCGTGGCGGAAGCGCTCTCGAGGTAAGACTACATCCACCGTCCCAAACGCATTGTCCAGCACTGAGATCCTTAAGAAGAAGCAACTTGACCCTGCCAATCTCTCCGAACGTGACCGCCTGGCCATTTCCGCTGCTCCCAAGGATTACTGCTTCCGTAATTACCTCGCCTACGCGATCTATGCGCCGCTGTATCTTGTTGGGCCCATCATGACCTTCAACGACTTCATCCACCAGCTCCGACACCCGCCTGCCTCTGTTGAGACGGGCCGCACCATTCGCTACGCAGTCCGCTTTGCTCTCTGCCTGCTCGCAATGGAAATTGTGCTCCATTACGACTATGTGTGCGCCATCTCGCACGCGGGGCCCAATTGGTCATCCTACACGCCCTCTCAGCTTTCCCTGCTCTCCTACTTTAACCTCCACATCATCTGGCTCAAACTCCTCCTCCCATGGCGCCTATTCCGCCTATGGGCCCTCCTCGACGGCGTCGACGCGCCGGAGAACATGCTGCGCTGCGTCTCCAACAACTGGTCTCCGAAATCCTTCTGGA